ATTATCCTCTATAGCGTTACTCTCAGTAGATTCCAGGTTGCTTTGTGCCAACTATATAGATTTGCAGGAAATAACTGCAAGCAATCAAATAATTCATTGATGGGAAAACATATAATTGACATTTGATGGCATGGAATAATCTGCAGTAGCATGAAACTAAATAATAAGAGGTAGGAGAGAAGTAGCATTTCTAACATTCTAGTCTTGAATCATGAGTTCTTGAGAAATAAGTTGCAAAGATTGTTCTTCTTCCATTATGCTATGAGAGGTTTTGAAATCATAAAAATTAAATGCAATTCGGACTAAAACTATGAAAGATTGAATGATATGTACCTCGGCGGTGGAATTGATCCACTAAGTTAAACAAATTGTACCTGTTTGAAATTTAAAAAAAAAAAAAAAAAAAACTCAGAAGTAATTACATGAGAAGCACTTTGAAGGAAGATAGAAAATCTAGTTGAGAGCAACTCTATTTGGTGAGAAAACTTCTTGTTCATTTGGATATTGTCATTTTTGTTGTAAGAGAAAGAAGCATGAACATAAACATAAAAACTGTATTGCTGATCAATTTTTTAATAACATAATTTGTACCGAATGGTGTCATTTTTTGTTAGGGTTTGATTATTAGATGTATGTTTATTGTTAAATTTTATTTTTATTGTTAATTGTATCTTGTACTTAATAGTAATTGTGCGGCTTAGTCGAACTACCTCATCCCTTTAGTGTAAAATATATCGTTATATTAAAAAAATGTTTAAGTTGGGGGCAGAAAGAGGTTATATGGGTTCAAATAAAATTTTCCAAACTTTGTTTCAAATAGTTAATTTAGATTTTTTATTTAGTACATCGATATTTTTATACTAAGGGGAGGGGGAGTTCGGCTAAGCCACACAATGGACAACTTAATTTGATATCGAATTCACCATCCAAGAGATTCAAACCTAAGACCTCTCACTTCTAAATGAAAAGGAATATCATCAGACCGTAATATTGAGAGGCAATAGTTAATTAAGAATTAGATTAAATACAAATTATTCGTTCAATCTTTGTGGAAAACCTAGCTAGAGCCAACTACACATTATGCTCTTGCAAGTATTTTCAAGTGTTTTTAACCCTACTTTTGCCGGTGGTAAAATCGTATCAGGTAGCTATCCAAAAGGTTTGCCACTAGCCGTGACCCTCACTCTTTCTTATTCCGAGAAGCGAGTGATGGCTGATAAGCCGCTGGTGAGGAAACTCTCTACTTGTGAAACGATGGGCTCTGCAACCCGTCATTTGTACTCACAAAACAGGCACTCTCACCATGAATGAAATGAAGGTGACCAAGTTTTGGTTAGGCAAAGAACTTTTGGAAGAAGGGGCTTATTCATCTATTTCTCCAGATGTCATGTACTTGATCCATGAAGGGGTTGCTCGCTATACAACTGGTTATGTATACAGGCCTATCTCGGATCTAGAAATTGAGATCTCAGGCAGTCCAATAGACAAGGCTATCCTTACATGGGCCATTCATTAGATGAGGATGGATATGCGAAGACGAGCTGTAGCATTCTCAATGTTGAGGCTTTAAATTCGCAAAAGAAACGAAGTGGGGTTTTGGTGGAAAGGCACGCAGGCAATAAAATGCAGGTGCATTGGAAATGAGCTGCAAAGATGATACTAGCAATGTGCACCAGTTACTACAATGCCTCTAGACATGTTGAGGGTATGGATGACAATCATATAATGACTGTTGAGCAGATTATTGAAGGTATGGCCACTAGCAGGCTCCGGTGCATTGCTTTTGCTAGTAAAGAACTTCCAGCTGAGGAGCAAATGGATGATCAAGGATACGAAGTTGTGCTAAAAGAAGAGGGATCTACCCTGTTAGGACTTGTGGGTCTTAAAGATCCATGTCGTCCAGGAGTGAAGATGGCAGTTCAAGACTTTTGGAATGCAGGAGTGAAGATCAAAATGATCACTGGTGACGATGTTTTCACTGCAAAAGCCATAGCCACTGAATGTGGGATTCTCAAGACTTATGAGGATATGTCAAGTGAAGCAGTGATAGAAGACGTGCAATTTCTCAATTACACACCTCAAGTGAGGAGGGAGAAGGTTGAGGAAATCTGTGTAATGGCAAGGTCCTCTCCATCTGATAAGCCTCTCATGGTGCAATGCTTGAAAGAAGGAGGTCATGTGGTTGCAGTGACAGGTGATGGCACAAATGATGCACCAGCATTGATAAAAGCTGATATCGGAATTTCTATGCGAATACAAGGCACAGAAGTTGCCAAGGATAGCTCTGGTGTTGTGATCATGGATGATAATTTTGCATCGCTGGTCACAGTTTTGAGGTGGGGAAGATGTGTGTACAATAACATCCAGACGTTCATCCAATTCCAGCTCACGATAAATACTGCAGCTGTTGGAATCAACTTTATAGCAGCCATTTCGGCAGGTGAATCCCGTTAACAGCAGCGCACTTCTTGTTGGTAAACTTGATTATGGTCACACTGAGATATCCAGCTATAGCCGGAGAAAAGCCCACAAAAGAACCCATGGAAAAGCCACCAGTCGGCAGGACTGAGCCTCTCATCACCAGCATCATGTGGAGGAACCTCGTACCTCAATCCCTGTACCAAATTGGGGTCCTCTTGATTATGCAATTCAAGGGTGAAAAGAAATGTCGATGTTTATGGCACTGTAATATTCTCTTCACTAGGATAAATGTGAAAATCTGTAATTGCTACCTGAATACTTTCGTTTTTTTAGTCTTCAATTGCATGATAAGATCTTTCGTCGAATGTTCATGCTCCCTTCCCTTGTAAATTGTAATTGTGGCTGAGCCCATCGGACTCCCATCTCAATCCGGTTATCATAAATCATATCTGAAATCACAATTACAAAAGTGTTTAAACCTTTGGGTTGAAGCTAACAAATGTACATGATTGCGTTGTTGTCTTAAACCAAATTGCGATGTCAAAAGCTGGATCCTCACTTCCAGTGTTTGGCTCTTCTAAAAGGCAAATGTGTTTGGCAGATCACGAGGAAAATTAAAACTGGACATAGGATTTGGTAGGCGAACGATGGCGGCGGTTCAAGTTCTTTGAAATCAACTGGACATAGGATGGGTACGTTATGCCTTTGATATTTTCTACCCCAGATTAGATGAGACAGGTGGCAGCATGTGACCTGAAGTTCCTCCTAGATTGAATTCCTCCTTCCTTGGATTATTCCCATGAACAATCCCTATGTTTTAATAATTAATTTCCACGTGATCATATAAAATTTGGATCATGTTATTTATCACATATGGGAAAAGTCCACGTGACACATGCATCAAAGCCTAGTTTTTAGATCATGAATGCTGTAATTTCATCTTCTTGCCCTTAATTAGTGATTAATTAGTTTCAATTAAGTTAGTCATTACAAATTAGTTTCTCTGGTCTAGTATTAATTGTCTCTGTTCGGTTTGAAAAGGTATTATGTTTGAGTTCGACTCACATAAATACCAAGCCAATATATATTTATGTAAGTAAGCTCGATACATAATTCCTACGTAATTCCAGTCCTTTATGGATTGTACTTTGCATTAATGCATAATTTAACTTTCGCGTATGAGGATTGAGGTAAAATCAAACTAGAGGTGGCCATGGAAAAATTTGCCATACGAATTTTGTCGTACTTTTTATCTGGTCTATGACAAGGTAAGTAAAGAATAATGGCCAAACAGTAGTCATCTTTTAATTTTTTTAGCATAAAACAATAGTCTTATCTTTGCTAGTTTTTTATTTTTTAAAAGGGTACAACTGGTGACAAATCACGGTTATTTACTTTTCGGGTCAGAAAGGTTATGAGAAATTTCACCATACTTGTGACCATAATCAAACAGACTCACCAGTTCAGAGTATCGAACCTAAGACATTCCATATAATCCAAAGCAAACTGTTTAATATCCTAAAAAGATATGGTAATTGTCTTAAAGGTTGAGCTAAGTATCGCACAAAGTAACATCTGCTTGGATTAAGTTTGGTATTTTGCATTTGTCCACTTTATTATGAAAACCATCCCAACAAAATTGGGATGAACATCTTTTTTCATTATTAGATTTTTTTTTTTTTTTTCAATATTAGAGCTCAGAGGATCAGGCATGGCTTAGAATTCAAAACAAAGTACAGTTTCAAGTTAAAAGTCTCTTGCTACATGCGTATGAGTGTATCAGTTGAGGTAAACCAAATTTTGTAAAACAGATGATGTAATTGTTAACGATTGGATTATCACTTAAGTTTTTATTAACGTGCTTATTGTTTATTGATGACATATCATTTGATTTACAAATTTTGTTTACGTAACATTAGCCATACATGAGCCTCACCATTTTTATCTTCTCATTTTATATAGAATCTAGCCTCTTGCCACACGCATTGCGACAATTGGTTTTTTTTAAAATATATTTTGAAAAATGATGAACGTAATTATTATTTTATTTATTTTTGGATGTTGTTGTTTTTTATTAAATATATTTTGAAAAATAACGGTCTTACTACATGGACTTTTTTTTGTGTGAATATTTGTATTATGCATGTTTCACTCTTTTTACCCTCTCCCTCCGTTTAAGGAGCACTTTATTTATTTTTTACTTTTTTTAACAAAAAATATTATCTACACTAAAAGAAGGGACAGATTAAACCTCATAATATATTAACAATAATATAAATAATAATCAAACCTATGATTTTTCATTTACAAATAAAAAATACTGTTACATCGTAATACTAAATAACTTTATTTTACAAATAAAAAATACTGTTACATCGTAATACTAAATAACTTTATTTTTTATTTAAAAAAAAAAATTAAGACGTTGGTAATATTAAGGAATAAAATTATAATTATTGTATCAAAACACATTATCATACGAACAACTCAGCCACGCCCTATCTCCTCCGCGTGCACAACACCACCCTAACGTTTCTTCTCCTTTCCCCACTCCGCTATGTCACGTTCTAGCAGAGAAAACATGGCACCCGCTTTATACTATCCGTTACCCACTCTCTCTCTCTCTCTCTCTCTCTCTCTCTCTTTTTCCAACGCCGCAACTCCTCAACGTTCTCTGTTGGACCTTGGTCACGAGTGTGGACCAAACTCCACCCTCTCTCTCTCATCCTCCTCCTTCTCCGTCCCCCTCTCTGCTGAACTGTAATCATATCTCTAACATATAATTACCCACAAACTGTATTAAATTTAATTCTCACTCTCTCCTCCGCCATGAATGCTTCTTTGCTTCCTTGACAACCCATCTCGCTTCTTTCTCTCTTTTAAGCTCTGCACTCATTCATTACTAGCACATATTCCTGACCTACCAAGCAACCATCTTTTCGAAGCAAAATCCCAAACAGGACATTTTTTCCGATCCCATTTAGCCAGATGAATGCCCTTTTGCTTTCACACCACACCTCTCTGCTCTCTCTCTCTCTCTCTCTCTCTCTCTCTCTCTCTCTCTGTCCTCTAAAAACTTGACCAGAGCAAAACCCACATCCCAGAATTCGAGTTCAAGCTCCAATGTCTAAGCACTCATCCCAGCCCGACCCGGAAACCATGCCGTTCTTCGAAGCTTTCAACAAGTTCAGGCGTTTGAAGCCGTTGGAGCCGTCCCTGGGCGTTCTGGGATTCTTCTTTGCCAGTGTTTGCGTGATTCTGTGCTTCGTTTACTTGGATGACAGAGCTTTGGCCAAAGGGTTTCAGTTCCCAGGCCAATCGGAGCGGTTTATGTGGCTGCAGAGTAACTGGCCGGGCAAGCACCGGAGGGTTGAGTTTCTGGAAGAAGAGGGTGGTGGGTGTGACGTGTTTGAAGGGGATTGGGTGTGGGACGAGGCGTATCCGCTGTATCAATCCAACGATTGCCGGTTTGTGGATGAAGGGTTTAGGTGCTCGGAGAATGGCCGTCCTGACTTGTTTTACACGAAGTGGAGATGGCAACCCAGGCATTGCAACTTGCCCAGGTACCTTTTCAGTTTTTGGTAGTCACATTGATTTTTATTGTGAGAAATTATTAATGTCTCAGCTATGCATAGGAAACTTCTGTACTGTTTTTCAGCATTTTCTCAGCAACCAAACAACCCAATAACGCTAATTGACTGTATGTATTTTGTCAGCACTTTTAGTTTAGTGTGTTTGGTGTGTGGAGCAATAATCCTTGTGTAACTTTCCATATGCTTGATGGCGACATTTTTGAATAATTTAACTCAATAATTTTTTCCCCGTGGATAATGAAAACAGATTTGACGCGAAGTTGATGTTGGAAAAACTGCGTAACAAGCGGCTAGTTTTTGTTGGCGATTCAATCGGGAGAAACCAATGGGAATCACTCCTGTGCATGCTCTCTTCTGCAGTTCCTAATGAGGATTCAATCTACGAAGTTAATGGAAAACCAATCACTAAGCACAAAGGGTTCTTGGTCTTCAAATTCAAGGATTTTAACTGCACTGTGGAGTACTACAGGTCTCCGTTTCTGGTGCTGCAGAGCCGTCCTCCTTCTGGAGCTTTGCAAAATGTCAGAACAACTCTGAAAGTGGATCAAATGGATTGGAATTCTGTAAAGTGGAGAGATGCCGATGTGTTGGTCTTCAACACGGGGCACTGGTGGAATTACGAGAAGACTGTAAGAGGGTAAATCTTAACTCTCAATCCTATTTGACTACGTTACAAGATTCACTCATTTGCATTCGCGTGAACCAACAGCGGAACTTGAACTTTAGTTATGTTTCAAGTTTTAAACATGATGTTTTTTCTTTCTTTCTGGATTTTCCTCTGGGTAGAAGGGTTAAAATTTTCTGTATGTTTTGTTCAGGGGTTGTTACTTCCAGGAACGGGAACAAGTAAAGATGGAAATGAGCGTAGAAGATGCATATCACAAGTCCATGGAGACTGTGGTGCACTGGATAGACACTCAAGTAAATTCAAGCAAGACTCAGGTTTTCTTTCGAACATACGCTCCTGTGCATTTCAGGTTCGTATTGTCTTACAAACATTTTCGCAATGACCAAAATAAAAATCTGCATCATTTTCTTGCTCTTTTCTGGTGAAGTAAGATTCTATATGAAAATGTTTCCGAAGAAAAAAAGATACTATACGAAAACCTTTATCGAAATATTATTCTTGAATAACGCAGAGGTGGGGATTGGAAGACGGGGGGAAGCTGCCACTCGGAGACACTGCCTGAGCTAGGTTCCTCATTGGTGCCTTCTCAATCATGGGATCAATTCAGGGTAGCCAATGTTGCGCTATCAGCTCACTCAAACACATCACAAACGACAAAGATTGATATACTGAACGTAACTCAAATGACTGCACGGAGAAAAGATGGACATTCGTCCTTGTACTATCTAGGTCCTAACGTTGGCCCTGCACCTCTCCATCGCCAAGATTGCAGCCACTGGTGTCTGCCTGGAGTCCCTGATACATGGAACGAACTACTCTATGCACTATTCCTAAAGCAGCAGATGACCGGCACAGTTAACTCGGCAACTTATAGAGCACAGGTATGATAAGTCTCCTGTTTGTGTTGCCATGGAAGACACGCTTCTATTGGCACAGTAATGCTTCCGAGGGGGGAAGGGAGAAGATCAAAGAAAACGGCACATAGCATTAATTTGGTCAGGATTTTGAGTTTCGGGTTGATAGCAGCCCTCAGATTTTTATGTCAATTGTGATTTGTGGGAGGAACAGGACCAGCATTCTTTTGGAAGACAGATCCAATTTAGCCGGGAAATAGGTTGGCAGCGGTTTCTTGGATAAAATTATGAAAGTGTAAAGAAATTTCACATTTTTTAAAATAAAAAAAAATTAATTTTTGAACCGGCGTGGTAATCCTTTGGAAAATATGTAATTAAATAGTTTTGAATTATTGTTATCGGTAGACAATGTCAATTCAATTTTAACTGATCAGTTGAGAATCATCAGCTTACTGATTTTTTTTTTTTTTCAACAAACGATATTATCTTCGTGCATGGTAGGCAAGTGTTTCGGTAGGGGCTAGCCATAATAAATCTCACACTTGGCTAGCCATTATAATGTGATTCAAATTCACTTTTAACAAAAATCGAACCTAACACATCTTATTTACAAGTGAAGATGATACCGTACTACTAAGTGGCATTACTGTTCTGAACATAAAATTTTATGAATAAAAAGTAAGGAATACCCTCATGCAATTCTTAATGGTGTTCTTGAAAATGGTCAGGTGCAATACATTGAGAAATCGCTTGTATTAAAGAGCGTTTAGTAAAAGTTAGAAATAAAAAAGAGTGCGTGAAAGACTAATGAGTAAAAGTTAGCTCTCAAACAAAAACTTAAAATTAAATAATTATCGCATTAGGAATGATGTTTCAGTAGTAAATTTGTGGTGCCTTCGTTTGAGAGAAACACTTGCTTTAAAGAGAGTTTGGAATAGTGCTTCGGTAGTAACTTTGTGGTGCTTTGAGTAGTTCATTAACCAGGTTTCTCAACCAAATATATGAAATGAAAATGCATTGAATTGTTTATATGGCAACTTTGTGGTGCTTAAGTAGTCATTAAATTGTTTTTTTTTTTGTAAAGAGGTAAAGAAAAAAGAAGCATCGATGCTTTGTAATTGTTCGCATGACAGAAAAATTATGTAGACAAAAGGATTATAACTCATTTGATTAAGAGGTCTTACACGTAGTTCTTTTCTTTTTATTTTTTTTTAATATGAAATCAGTTGGTGGCTTCTCTCATAGTAGCTCACTCTTTTAGGGGAGGAGAAAACTCACAGAGGCATTTCAGCCTCCCTTAACCACTATTGTGTGATTCATCAGAACCAAGAAATCAAATTCAAAACATACCGTGTAAAATACGAACCTGAAATTTATCTCTAATGATTGAGTCATTCCATAATGATTTCTTACGTGAGAGTTCTAATTTCAATTCTTCGACCCCTATATCCTAAAAGCATATACTCATTTTGATTAATTTTTAAAAAAAGCTTATGTTCCCTAATTTCCCGGGTTCTAAACTTAAATCACAATTGAAAATAAAAATAAAAATAAAAACAAAAACAAAGAGAGTTTTAACAAATCACTCTCGATACTTTTCACTTTTAACAAAAAATCACGTTTATATCTTTCTCTAGTAGTATTCATCGTAAGTTTTTCATTAAAAATGAATTTTTTTTTTTTAGAACTTTTTATTAGTTTTCTAAAACAAAAAGCAAAATAAAATAGAAAGAAGAGAGGATCGTTCAGTTTGGAAGCGTGAAATCAAGCCTACTACAGTCAGTCACAATCGCCCCGTGGAAGAACCATTACAATTAGCAATGGCACCAGCGTCTACAGCCAAGAGAGCCGATCGAGGGACCTCGATAAGCTCCTCCTCCGCCCCGGCAATCTCGTCGGACACAACTTCGAACCCGGCCCTGGAGTAAACCCTTTTCTTCCTTTTCCTTCTCTCCCAAACACTCTTCTTTTTCGATCGATCAAACGATTTTGTGGGTTTCTTACAGTGATTTTGTTGCAGCTACGAGATGATCTCAAAGAGTACGCCAGAGTTTTGGTGGTTGGGGCTGGTGGGTTGGGCTGTGAGCTGCTCAAGGACTTGGCTTTGTCTGGTTTCCGGGAGCTCGAAGTCATAGACATGGATCGCATCGAGGTTTCCAATCTCAATCGCCAGTTCCTCTTCAGGTTATTTGAATGTTCTTTTTGGGTGCCTTTTGCTTTAATTTGTAAATTTGGTGCCTTTTGCTTTAATTTGTAATGGGTGAATTGGGAAATTTGTTGATTTTACTTGTTTATTGCCCACTTTACAGTCTTTCATTAGCTAGAGTATTGAAGATTTGTATAATCTATCAATATTTTAGTTCTCTAACTGATCTTAATGACCCAACATTTTAATCTTAACAGTAAAATTATCCCTGAACCATTGATGTTTGTGTGTGTTATTAAATGTCTAATCTCTCAATATTAGCATTCTATCTGCTTCAGAACCGTCTATTTTGATAATCTCTGTCGTATACTAATGAATACTGTAATTTCTTTTTTTTTTTTCTTATCTGCCTTATCGATGTAAAAAACAAGGGAAGAAAAAGAGTTGCACTTCAATTTCTTGTTAGAGTGCTTTCCTCATGAAGTTTTTGTCGTAGACTTGAAGATGTAGGTAAGCCAAAGGCTGAGGTGGCTGCAAAACGTGTCATGGAGAGAGTTAGTGGTGTAAATATCGTTCCACATTTTTGCCGGATTGAGGACAAGGAGCTTGAATTTTATAGTGATTTCAGTATCATCGCCCTCGGTCTTGATTCCATTGAGGCTCGGAGCTACATCAATTCTGTTGCTTGTAGTTTTCTTGGTCAGTATGTTCAACCTATCCATTTTGCTCATATTTTGTCTCTGTATTACATATTAAAAGTTCTATATGGGTTCAGGTGTTTCTATAATTATATTTGCGCTTGTTTGTGTGATATTGATTATTGACCTTCCTTGTTGCTCTAATTATTGATAATTACAGTGTTTATTTTCCTTATGAGAACAGAAAGAATAGATTTAAATAAAATAGTCCCAGAAAAGCCTGCAGACAATAGATTTTGGTCATTAAACATGCTTGCTAAAATTGGTCCAGTTTTGCAAATTTAAGGTGTAGATTTTAGGGTGTCGAAATTGACACACACACAGTCCACTTATGATATGTCTTGGAACTCTAAGGTGTCAAAATTGGTCCAGATTTTGGTTTGAACTTTTGTTTCTAATATCAGATCCTTTGTTGCTTTGGTGACCTTGCCTTGAAGCTCTTATGTATAACAGCATTTTTGGGACTTTTTCTTTACTATACTTGAGCTAACGTGGCCCTTCACATTTTATTTGTTATTCTTTTGGAAGAGTATAATTCTGATGATACCCCACAAGAAGAAACCATCAAGCCTATGGTAGATGGAGGGACTGAAGGTTTTCAAGGACATGCTAGGGTCATTGTTCCAGGGGTCACTCCATGCTTTGAGTGCACCATCTGGCTTTTCCCCCCTCAAGTGAAGTTCCCTCTATGCACCCTTGCAGAAACCCCTAGAACTGCTGCTCACTGTATTGAATATGCTCACTTGATCAAATGGGATGAGGTGACACATTCCACACGATTTCACTATTCTTTCCCCTTTATGTTTCATTACACTTTATAACTGTTCCATGAGTTAAAATTGATGGTATGACAACTAAAAATGCATTCTACAAATAGTTACATAGCGGAAAGTCTTTTGATCCAGATGATCCAGAGCATATGAAGTGGGTCTATGACGAGGTCAGTGAAGTACAATTATGTAGTGATTTACATTTTGTTTATATTGATGTTCATTTTAACTTAGATTTGTTGCTCAATATCCAATAGGCTACCAAGAGAGCTGAGCTTTTCGGTATTCCAGGAGTTACATATTCTTTTACTCAGGTGCATATGTACTTAAAGATTATTTTCTTTTTAAGATTCTGTGCCACTGAGCTGCATAGTTTGGATTGGGTGTTAATTTATATGGGTGAAGAGAGATATTACGATTTGCCTCCCTTCTCTAATAAGCAGATTATGTTGTTTACAGGGTGTTGTGAAGAACATCATACCAGCTATTGCTTCCACAAATGCAATTATATCAGCAGCATGTGCACTAGAGACATTGAAGATTGCATCTGGATGCAGCAAAACACTACCAAACTATTTAACGTGCGTTCTATTTCTCTTCGATACCACTCAACTTAAACATCTTGTCCTAGATGTCATAACCAGTATGGTTGCAAATCTATGTATACGATTAGTGAATGACCACTCGCAAAATAGTTTAGGATTAGTGAATCCCCACACCCCCCCCCCTCTCTCTCCTCTCTCCCCTTAATTGCTTTTACTCCAAGTTTGCATTTCATTATGCTTGATCTCCGAAAAGTTAGATTGCAATGCTAAGGTTGTGAAAAGTGCCCATATTTCTTACATTGGCAAATTAGCTCGCTTTGGATGCTAGGTCATTGTTGAACATCATCATCAAAATTAAAGCAAATGGCTGCACATGTTTCATCTAATCAAACTTGTTAACAAAAGGTTTTATTTCAATATGTACTGAGTGTTCAGAGTCTTTGTAGGTATAATGGTGCACAAGGTCTCCACACAAAAGTGACTGAATTTGTCAGGGACAAAGACTGTCTTGTATGCGGACCGGGTGTTCTTGTTCAACTGGACACCTCAATTACTTTGCAAAAGGTTATTTTCTAGATCCTTTGATTTGCTAGAATTTGGTTTCTGTGAACGTATCTTTGGAGAAAATTTAGTTTCGGCGATATTCATTTTTAAGTTTCTAAGTCCAGCATTTTAGTCTTTGTGGTTAGTGTTCCTATAACTGGATTCTAGTAGTTGTTTGATGAAAGCTATTGTATGTTTAGGAGGCAAATGCTATACTATCTTTTAGTTATGATCTCCTTGGTGTTGCTTCTGATGTCAGCTCTACTTGTTTTGTGTTATATTTTAAAATGTTCGTTTAACTTAAGAAATGAAAAGTGATTCTAGTTTCTAAGTGAACAAAGTCGGTACCGCACCAAGGTGTTATGTTGTGACCACCAACGATGCCTAAATCTCAAGTTCTCAATTAAGAAAGTTGTTAAGACTTCTCTTCCTTGTCATTTCTCCTTTGTCAAAAGTGAAACGCTCAAGTTAGTTTTTCTGATAATTTGATTCTGATTTGTAAGTATCAGTGATATGTCCTATTATTTTGCGCGGCTTCGCCTGTCCTAATTCAACTTTTATGGCAACAGTTCATTGATCTACTTGAAGAACACCCGAAATTGCTATTATCGAAAGCAAGCATCACACACAGAGGGAAGAATCTGTACATGCAGGCTCCACCTATACTGGAAGAGATGACCAGATCAAATCTAAGCTTACCACTTTTTGAGCTAATGGGTGAAGTTCCGAAGGATGTTGTCCACGCGACCGGTACAACCACAAAGAATGACAAAAAAACTTCGTGTCTGAGAAAGTTGCGTGTTATTTTCAAAGGAGTGGATGTGATCACAGATGTGGATACAGCAGGAGAGTCATGATTTTTTCACTGGATCTGATCTAAGACCACAGGAGTTGCAAAGCTTTTGAAGATTCTCTCCCTGAAACGATTGAAGCAAGAGACGGAATTGGCGAGGCAAGCTTGAATACCATTCTAAGTAGTAAATCCTTTCTTCGAATATTATCTCGAAAGATGATTGATCGTTTACTATCCACCATGAAAGCAATGAGATTTTACAGTTTCAAGTTGCCCTCAACAATTGTTTGGATGAGAATGTTTCTGGGTGAAAAAGATTGACCGTATGTGATCAATTCCTGTTATGGGCCTTATGACCCATGGATTCATGTCTTACTATTACCTTGTAATTTATTTAGTCCAATGCTACAAGATGCCATCTGTTATTCTAATGATTGAACTAGTTTGTTTCAAATTGCTTCCGTAAGATTGCTTATAAACGCCTTTGTTAAAAGTGCTTTTATTATAAACATGTTGAATATATTATTAAAAATCCAAGTGTAACATGAATAGTCACGTTTGAGGTATTTCTTCGTAAATGCTTTTAAGAGTTAGATTCACTTTTAAGTCTCTCTGTCAAACATAGTTATTAGAAGCGTAGTTGGTAGACCTTGATTAAGTTTTCCAAAACATGCCATGGTAGAAGATACCAATGTAATTTTCTAAAATATGAGGGGTGTCATTGCAGTTTTATTTAACTTGAAGACAAGTTTGAAGATTCTTTATGATTCACAGCCAAGGAGATCCAAACATCAAAACTTGATTACCACAGAAAACTTCATAGTACCAAGTCTTGTTGGGCAGTGCGCACCTGTCAAGCTATCCACAACCGAAATAAGATCACGGGAGCTTTAGGATGAGGCTGTCATTCCAAGTCAAATGGTTCAAAATCCCTAATTAATTCGAGGCCTATGAGTCTATGACCAGCTTCAAGCTTGGATGATCCCACATCCAACCCAACATTCCACTCCATGAACAGAAAATGATGAAATTTCAAATTAGTAATCCTCATTTAACTAATATAATAATCAAATGCCGTGTGAAACAAATTACAAAGACTAAACACCGTCGTATTATTGAAAAATCTATTGTGTCACTAAGTTATATCCTCTGTTACTTCTGCAACGCTTATTAATATCATAACTAATTTCAAGATTCATTCCTCAATGATGTACTCCCTTGTGATTGCAAAAGTCATTAAGGCAATAATTAGCTTTAATGTTCATTCCTAGTTCCCACATGCAACCGAACATTTCATTCCAATAAAACGAAGAAAATTCAAACTTCATTTTTTGATTCATCAATAATTAAGTACCATATGAAACAAAGATTAAACTATCATTTTTTTCAGTTGAGAAAATCTAATATGTCATCTGGATATATATTTTATGTTTACAACATTCATCAGGTGTCATAGATTATGTGATGATTGCTATAGAGTATAGACATAAAGAGATATACTTCATGTCATAAAACTAGTATATTTGGTCGTACTGATCACGTAATTAGTGTTGTAAACATAATAAGATATATCACGACGTCTACGGTGAGGTTTCTTCATTTTAGGGGTCATGATATTCCATGCAACCCTAATGCTCAACCAACGCTAGCCATGAAACCGTGTGGAAAAGGGACGTGGACCAAGCAACACCATATATACAATTCAACATTTTGCTTTCCAAAGAAGAGTAAAGTAGAACATGAAACAAGTGGAAAGAAAAAGAGAATAATAATGCATCTTACCCGTTAATGCTCTTGCAATTGACTGACCGATACAGAGGGAGGCAGATGAATGAAGAAGTGGGAAAAAACAAGCACACACAAAAGATCAATTTATCTGGCAACAAGTCTATTTCTCTAGTCATGCATGCTGGCTCACATGTTGCTCTACCCTAGTGAACCAGTTGGTGCTATTTGCACCCTTGGTTGATTGATTTTCATGCATACACATCACACTCCTTCCATTTCCAAAAACTAACACATCATTCTTGTTTTGATTTTTTTCTTCCTTTTATGGCTTATACAAGATATGCATATGAGGCCTAATTGAATAGGGATCGACAATATGTTTACTTTTCAAGGGTATTACTACATTTATGTGTTTTTGAACTTATGAATTGTATTCCGTTAGTGTCAAGACACAGTTAAGAACAAGTCATGCTTTCGTTAGCCGCGGATACTTCCATAGGTTGGGCACTAATTCTTTACATAGTAAAATTCTTCCGCATAGTGAAGCTATATATAAGCAACACAAGTGGATTAGTAACAAAAACATATTGCTAAACCATAGTGAACCTTGCACCCTTGGTGATTGATTTTCATGGATACAAAACTCTCCCTTTTAATTTTGAAAAACATCCCATCATAAATAAGGGCACTAACGCGTTACTAATATAACATTAAGGCTCTTACATTGCAGAAATTTTTCAATGTGCTCAGAACACGGAGTGGTACACCACGTGTCATTATACAAGTGATGAGATACTTGTGTTAATGAATTAACAACTTAAAAAATAAAACTTCCTTCCACTTATATAATGACATGTTGTATACCACCCATATTCCGCACACAATGAAAAATTTATCCTCTAAGTCGAGCGAAGCTAGCAAGCAGTTCGAGTGGATAGTAATACTATATGACAATTTATACATCCTAGAAATAATACTATAAATGTACAATGTTTGTTTTTATGTGGACTATATATGAATCTCGAACCAAAAACTAGGTATTTATAGGGAAATGGATGTGAGGGGCAGAAAAGTCATTTACAACCAAGTGTGTAGGTTTTGCTAGAGATTTTAAGTCGATCTTGGATTGGCACGTATCTGGGTGTGGGTTGTTGCCGGCTGTTCCTCATCTCTTTTAGGGCAACTGGATAATATGATGACATACAACATGATTCTTGTGGGCCAGTGGGACTTCAAATACAGATAGGCCAACTGCCTACCCTTCCACATGGCTGCACAAAACCATGTGTGTGTAGAGATGCAGAGTGGGACTTCACATAAACCCACCCATCCCCTTCTCCTCTGCCCTTTGCTTTTCCCCTATATAAAATCCCTACTTATTTCCTTTAGATTTTATTAAGAGAGTTTCAGGTTCGGAGACACCACTCAGGCTTGCTTAACACACAAATAATAACCCAACTTCTTGATTAATTAAGCTGCAGACATGGAGAAACTAGAAGACGACTTGTTCTTTGCAGACTTAACTAAGCAAATCTCTCTTCTAATCATGGATGATGAGGAGGATCCTATCGCAACTTGCCCTTCAGTTTCTCTTCAGGTATACACTTCATTTGCAGTGATTGTAATTGTTTATCTTCTTCTTCGTGGATACGCTAGCAACATGTGGACGTAGCTCGTATTAATGTGAAGTGATTTCCGCAACTCTTTCTTCCTCTGCACACTCTTGTGACATTTGAAATGAATAAATCCAGCGTTGTGTAGAAGGAGAAAAAGAGTGTGGAAGTCAGTAAACCATGTTAGATTTTAGTGTGTTGTTTTGCAAGTTTACTTTTGTGTTCTCGATCCGTGTATGATTATATCATTTTGTACTTGTTCTATCTAGGAGATGAAGGGACTGATTTCCTAACATGTTTTTAATTGTGCTTACAGGCTTTCTCTTGTGCAATCCACCCACCTGCACATCCTGCCTTTCTGTATGAGCAATCCTGCAGGAGAGAAACCAAAGGAACTGGAGTTTTCATCCCCCAATCAATACGTCCAAGAAGAAAGCACAGGCAGGGAAGGTTTGCCTCATACAACTCAAAATCCCACAGATCGTCACAAGCTGATCACAACAAAACGATGGTTTCCCAAGCATCTTCCGACTGCGCTTTTAGACCGAAAAATGGATGAGATATAGAACCCTAATTATCAAGAAGTATTGTACAATGCAATAAACTTCTGCTGATGAGTCCCTTTGCCAAACATGGCAAGGCAAGGATTTTATGATACTAATATTGTTATTGTTATGGTGATGATGTCTGTGTATGGGAAGGCAAGGAAAAGCTATTTACTTTTGTTCCTTACTCTGCCAAGGGGAGCTTACCAAAGGGTAGATTGTACCCTTTGAATTGTGAACGTGTATGGGGGATTGAGGTATTGGATATAGGATGAGCTTTCTCTAATTCATTAAATTCTATTCATTAATTGTTTTATTTTGATTTTAGTTTGGTTATTTGTCCAAAATGTTGTATGACATTAGCTTAATTTGATTTAAGTCAAGACATATGAGTTACGTCAGTTGGTTGTGGTAGTTTGTCCAACTACTTGCATCTAAGTTCGAAACTTCTTCTATAATTTAGAGTAGTTTAGAATAAGAAAATGATTTCTACATGCCTTTTTCTCCATCTTCAAACTTGGGTGCGTTGAAATTAGTTTCGTTAAAATATTGACTTGCCAAAAAAGAAAGTTCAATTGAAGGCAACATAAGTGCATGGTAGATCTAATGAGAGTTACATTTGTAGTAAAACAAGTAGTCCAAACAAGTTACCCCAGTTGGTAAGCATACATCCAATTGAGAAAACAAAGATTTTGGGAGAAAGATTGAGGTGCAACATTCAGACAACGAAGCTTTGTAGCTTGCTGGATCTGCAAATCGGAAGAAAATATCTTGGATTTGTTTTTATGCTAGGAATTATCGAAAGGTAAAAACAGATGAGGTGGAAGTGACAAGCATATGAGCAATTTGGTTGGTTGCAAATCAACCTAAAAGGAAAAGCTATTCATTTGACTATAAATACATGTTCTTGTTTAAATTATTGGAATCTATTAGGGCCGTTGGCAAAGGATACTGCATCATTGCAGGCATCAACTTTCAAATTTCTCTTTAATCTTGACATAATTGACCACTTCTATTCCTTCTCTGAACTTTGCGTGATGTTTTGCGATTGATATATATAAAGTCGTTAGAGTAGTATGATTGAAGCTTAATCACCAAACCCTACCATCATCATTCACTAAACTTGTTCTTTTGTTATGAAGTTAAGCATCTAACGGAAAATCAATTAGCAACAAATTAATATGGTTCTTGGCCAGACTTTCATGGCAGAATAACGACGAATATGTGGTGCAAGAGGCATCCAATTCTCAACGTGGAATTTACACGTTCGACGTGGAACATAAAACTAGTTCTACAACTATTGTCAATTCGTTTCTCGCTTTGAACATGCTCTTTGATTAATCTTCCCTCAGCATGTCACGTTTCGATGGTACAACTACATGCATGCATTTCTTTCAGAAGGCATTCCTTTCATTTTCGATGTCATGTTTGAGTTCTCTCTTTAAACACTTCATATATTTTCCCTTTCTTTTGGGCAAGCTGTTTCATTGCTTTTTCTTATGTAGTTTTCAACTTTTGTGTCCCTTCCATACTGGCAGCCCATCAGGCCACATGACCTCTCACTTTTGATACGTGCCTTGTCGGCTGAGGTGAACTGAGAGTTGAGAGGGTGAATCATAAATCAGGAAATTGAGAAATATTACCTAAGCTTATAAGGAGTTGAATGACTTTCCGTTTTATAGTAAAATGTCAATTTCTTTTATGGTATTAGCCAATTAAAACATATTTTCTACATTTTGATTTCACCATCTTATTATCAATGTACTGTGAACCTGTGGTGGAACTTCAATTTTCTTAAAAAAAATGAGAGTGACAAATTAAGTTGAAACAAATAAAAATATTATTTGTCAGGGAATATTTGCGTTGATTTTTGCTTTGAGATCTAGCTAGCTCTCACTTTTATTTTTCCTTTTTCTCTTTTGTTGGATGAGAGCTGAGAGAAGTAAGATCAGAGATCTAGGTGCAGCACTTGCCCATCTGTTGACCAGTGGAAGTCACAAACTTTCAAAAACGATCGGTGAATTATTTAACGAAAGAGAATGAATCTGTGGTGCCCCACTTACAGTTTATGTCCATCCATATCTTAAAAATTGAATTCAAAGCTCAACATTTGCTTTTAAAACACAAGACCAAGTCATGAGATGAAATGATTCCGTGAGTTTTTCGGGTCTCTAGAACGGTAGACTGTCGTGACAAAGTTATATGGTAATCTTATTTTTAGAGGGAAAGAAAAATGAAAAAAAAAAAATCTTGTGGATAAGATGTTGGATTTTATATATGCGTCTTCGAATTTGGAACTCATCCCTTCTTTATATTAATGTATTAATTTTGAACTCTCCTTTATCTCCTCAATAATAGTAATTTAAAAAAACAAATCACGAGTCACAACTTATGATAGGTGACAATATGAAAGTTCTTAGCTATTTTCGGTAATATATGTATTTACTTTTCAATTTTCATGTTAGTCACAAGAAATAAAATGTGAAAGTTGATTGCAGTTTCTTGCTTCAACATACCTTGATTAATCACACTTACATAATAATCCAATTATCAACAAACACGTCATATAGTTTACAAAATATGATTTAAATAGATTCTCTCTAGCATTACTAATTCAATAATATGTGAGGTGCTAATAAAAACCTTCCGTTAATGCTTTTTATACAGCAATATTCTACGCTAAATCTTAAAACGACGCATAAACTCGAATGAGGATTACCGTTACTATCTAGAAGTGCTGACATCGAACTCATCGCATATAATCTTGTAAAAAAGTGTAGAGTGGGAGACTAATACGAGAAAATTCGGTCTTCAGCAGCCCAACTTTTAGCCAACTTTTATTCAACATTTGGTTTTAGACTTGTGCTTATTTGGACGATGTAAAATTGTTTGATCTATTAAATTGGTTAGGCAGTGATCACAAATCAACTTACTTTCGGTTAAATCGCAATCGAATTTTTATGCAAGTGGGAGATTTTCAGTGGTCTACGACTAGGAGCGGGTTGTGGTCCACCGATAAAGACCGACACCATATGCATTTGGACAAGTGAACAGTCCGCATCACGGCGTGTTTTAGGTCGGCCGATAGTCCTTTTGCCTTCAACAGAGTAGATTGAAAATTTAACCTCCGGACCGACCTAACTGCTGGATGCAATTAATGGAGGAGCTAAGAATTTAAATACAGGTAAACTAATTTATTTTTCTTGTAATATATAGTGAATCTAAGCATTGAGGGTATGCTAGGTTTTTGTTTTGTGCAATATTAACATAACATGCTTAATTTAACGATTCATTTTTCTTAATTGATCTCATTTTTAACACTACTTAATACTATGATCTAGTGATATTCTTCTTCACTTATAAGTGACATTATATTATTGCTAACTCGTTATGAGGTTTAGCTCACTTCTCTACCCTCTTAGTGTAGATAATATCATTTGTTAAAAAAAAAAAAATTGGTCTCCTTTTTTTTTAAAGAAAAAGAGAAGAAAAATAATCTTGGTATACATTGGAAGTGACTTGAGATGTATTCAAAAATTTTATTTTTATTTTTTAACCTTATGGGGCCTAAATAAATAATCTTGGTATACATTGGAAGTGACTTGAGATGTATTCAAAAATTTTATTTTTATTTTTTAACCTTATGGGGCCTAAATAATCATTTTATGTTAAGATATGTAAGTTATTTAATAATAAATTTAATGTGGGGTCTATTTAATAATATGTAGGGGCTAATAAAAAAAACCTAAAAATTGGAGTAAAAAGTACATAATTAAGGTCTCATATGATTCTACTCCATTGATTTTCTCTTTACAAAATTGGAGTAAAAAGTACATAATTGTTATGATTGTTGGTGTATAGTGTCTTTAATCTTTATCCCAACCCATTCGACAAAATCCATGCGCAGCAGAGTGAGATTTTTTTTTTTTTTTTTTTTTTCTTCTGATGAAGGGGGAGAATTTATTAATATCATTGGGCCTGACTGCACAACTTCAGACCCAAACTCTGGCCATATTTCAGTTCAGGTAGGCCAAGACCCGAACAATGTATTTCCGGGCCGCGTCTGTCCGGCCCATATTATAGGCGGAGATCACAAAAAGTCAATGAACTGAATTACACAAGTGACAACACAACACTGGCACTCTCAAGTTACCAACGATTTCGAAGCTCCGTCGATGGCGGACCTCTCCTTCCTCGCCCTCCTCCTCCTCCTGCCGCCCGCCCTCCTCTTCGTAGTTCTCTACGTTATAGTCCGGCCCCGCCCCGTCAAGATCCCAATCAAGAACCGCCACGTGTTCATCACCGGAGGCTCCAGCGGAATTGGTCTGGCCCTGGCCCACCAGGCCGCCATCGAGGGCGCCAGAGTCTCCATCCTCGCGCGCTCCATCGACAAGCTCGAGGAAGCAAAGAACTACATCCAGCTCTCCACCGGCATCGACGTGTCAATCTTCGCCGCCGACGTCCGCGACTACGGCGCCGTATCGAAGGCGGTGGAGGAGGCGGGTCCCGTCGACGTGTTGATCGTGAACCAGGGGGTTTTCGTCCCCGAGGAGCTCGAGAAGCAGGGATTGGATGAGGTGAAGTTCATGGTGGACGTGAATCTGATTGGGAGCTTCAACATGATCAAAGCCGCTCTCCCCGAAATGAAGAAGGGAGAAGACCGTGGGCCGCGCTCGATCGCTCTGATGTCATCCCAGGCCGGCCAAGTCGGAATCTACGGCTACACGGCCTACTCCGCCAGCAAGTTCGGGCTCCGTGGCTTGGCCGAGGCTCTGCAGCAAGAGGTGATTTCTCACGACATTCACGTTTCTCTCGTATTCCCGCCGGACACAGACACCCCTGGCTTCGCTGAAGGTAAAACTGTAAAAAAAATTGTAAATGTTCGATGTGGAATTTTATTGTTTCGATTTTGATTATTTTTTATACGAGCGATATTCTACTTTAAACTAATATAAACTGTTAAAGGTCAGGGGATTCGAACTTGGATGCATTGGAATGTTAAATGCGGGTAGTGAGATTCGAACATTGGTGCATTGGGGAGCGCATCCGCTCTAGCCAACGTGGCTACTCGTGATTTTGCTCTAATTTTAAAATTCAATTGTTGTAGAGACCAAGAGGCGGCCGCCGCTGACTGGCATTATAGCGGAGTCGTCTGGGGCGATGAAAGCCGAAGATGTTGCGAAGAGGGCTTTGGATGGGATTAAGTCTGCTTCTTTTATTGTGCCTTGCAACTTTGAAGGGTTATTGTTGTCCATTGCCACTGCTGGGTTGTCTCCTCAGAGGTCGTTTGTTATGGCATTTTTCGAGGTGGTTGCAGCTGGTTTGGTTCGTCTCATTGCTCTGTGTTTTCAGTGGAATTGGTATACTAGCATACAGAAGTGGCAAGCACAGAACAAGAGTGAGTATTGTTTCATATCACTGTTTAACTGATTATGTTTTAGTTTTCGGTTTGATCTTACTGCATAGAAATTGTATTTCCTAGACGTAGTTGCCAATTGTTTGTATGTTTCCTGTTTTTATCCGAACTGCCTAGTTTAATGAATGGTGCTGCCGGGTTTAGAGATGTTTCCTGCATTTGAATTACTCATGTTGTGGATCCAACTGTGCATTTCAAGACAATCTTAATAGGCTAGAGAGATTAATGTCGTTTCCTTGTTTCATGTTTCTGATCCGAATCTGAGAAAGTATAATGAGGACGAATAGATGCATCGATTAAAAAGAATGAATCATTCACTAAGGAAAATATGGTCCGTGATCGGCGGATTGCAGGACCTAGCACCGGTGTAGCTGACCTTGAATGGTTGGGATAAGATTGTGCTGTTGTCATTGCTAGTAAGTAGGAGATCAAAGCGAAATTATACCTGTGTGCTGCTGGCGTATTCATCTGTCGTAGAATGTTACATATTAATTCCGATTTTTGTAATCAATATACCCAAATGGCGGCATCTTAGATTCTTAAGAACCTCCTTTCCCTCTAATCTAAAGTAGCAGTCTGGGAATCCGATTCTTTTTTTTTTTTCTGTGCTGACATCCTTGCATGTTTAGTTATGAGTGAAACTTCACCATTTCTTGTTTTTTCAACGATTTTAATTTCAGGGACCTGAGATTCGCGGTGCTTTGTATTGCACTTAGACTGCAGTTGTCTGTTGTGGGTTACTTTGGTTCTTCAAGTCTCTGACCTCATCCAAGGTGGAGTTTACCTGTTGAATTAACGGCATTGCTACTTGAGGAAAACTTTTCGGTCACCAGTCTCCTTATTCCTAAATTGACACTGTTGGTTTTCCAGGCATTCAGTATCGTCTATATTCATTCCCGATTATGATAGATCCGTTTGTTAGGAAATTAAAACAAGTCTTGAGATTTCTTTTGATACCCTTTGAATTTTGTTTCTAGTCGATTTATTTCGTTGTTCATATAGACTACTTCAGAACGGATGTAAGAACGGTTGATGAAAGAGTTTTTGAAAAATGCGTTGTCTGTCATTCCCCGCCAAAAATTCAGTAATATGTTCAGATGAAGTTGTTTGTTGCCTCAGAATTTTACTGTCGTAAATATCTAAGCAAATATGAGAAGGTGGCATACAAAATTTAGGTTTGGACATTGTCTTAGCTTTTGCCAAAAGTCTCTTTAATCACGGATCTGAAACATATGCGAAAGTAAATCATTTAATCAAGAAAAATCTTATGCACAGTATGCCAGTGGCGGATCCAAGATTCTAGCATCAGGTGATCCTAAATAAGGTACTTTATGAAATATTTTATCGAGTCGCATGAATTTATAGTGAATTAAAAAAAATAACGTTGTCAAATATGTGGTTTAAAAAGTGATGCAGCATTCTTCTATTAATTAAAATGTTAGGTGACATAACCTGATTGAACAACAATTAAAAAACATGAGGAGTTGGCCACGTGGGAAATGGAGAGAGTGTCTTTCTTCTTTATTGGAACCAAGGTCCAAGAAAAACATAGTCATGGCGATCTTCTCTGTGTTCCTCTTCGTTTGAAATTAAATCTGTCACAACCCGTCCCGGAATTTTAATTCTAAGGACGTGAAGTTATGAAAATGCCCTTAAACGGGACTAAGGGGCGTAAAATATGTTATAACTTGATGATTTGGGGATTGGGTAGGATCCCACATCCCTCAAATCCCTCCCCCATTTCTGCATCTTGTCTCTCTCTCTCTCTCCTCCCTCACAAATCTCTCATTCTCTCAGAGTTCTCTCTCTCTCCTTCGAACTCACACAGACCACCCACAAAACCACCATAAAACTATACCAACGAAGGATCTAAGACCACCATCGTGCTCCTGAGGACCACACGAACATGATGGTACCAATTTCAGGTGAGTTTCACTTCGGAAAACATGGATTTCAATTTCACTGTGCGTGTGCACTGTTCATGCACACGTAAAGCTTGATGTTTTTGGGATTTTGAAGCTTGTAGGAAGCTTGGTGAGGTCCTAAGGAAGCTCGGAGTGCTTCGTTTGAAGGATTTGGACGTCGGGATAGCTTGGTTCAAAGTTGGCCGGAGCTTTCGAGGCTTTTTCCGGTGAATCCACGGCGAGTTAGGGGTCAAGGCAGGTATGGATGTGTTCGTCTTGTCAATACCTTCATTTTGATATAAAGAACGTCGAAAATGGTTAAGAAACGAAGAAGTTATGACACTTTGAAATTTACCCAGAAATTTCGGCAAAACACCCATCTCCGGCGAAACCAGTCCGGCGATGCGAGGAAGAAGGCGCGCGCGTGGGCAGCGCGTAGATAGGGCGCGTGGGGCGCGTGAGAGCTCCAAATTGAGTTCTGAAAATTGTCACGCGTTCGTGACGTCGTGTAGATCACCGTGGTATATTCACACACCCAAATTGAGCAACGTATGAGAAAGTTATTGACGAATGTTTGGTGTATGTGCGTTAAATAACGTCAATTTGGTTACTTTTTGTATAGGTGAAAATTATACAGAAGAAGAATGTAACCAATCTAGGGGAGGCTCAGGGACCTACGAGACGTCGATGTGATCTGTGAGTGGGTAGTTTTGTTTTCGTATATATACGTATGCTTGACGTATTTCCCAGGAAACGTATTTTAAAAGAAATACGAATTAAATATCCTGTCATATATGCATCGTATTTTAATATGTGCATTACCATAATTATGCATACTGTTGCATGGTGCTGAGGAGGCCCAGGTAAGCTACATTTGATATACATTTGATATACGTATGAAATACCTTTGAAATACATTTGATATACGTATGAAATACGTTTGGAATACGATTGAAATACTATGGAAATACAAATGAATTATGATTGTGATATGATTGAAATATGATTGAGATATTATGCTGATAACGATCATGAGATATGATTGAGATATGAAGAATTATATGATAGAGATGTGATAGAGAGCTCATAACCTGCACCCTCCGTGTGAGTGCTCCCGCCCTGAGCAGGGCCCAGCCTTCACGTGATGTTCACCTCACCGCACCTTATGCTCAGCTTGGATCCAAGCTAGGTGCCCAGCTTGTCGTACAGACCACATTAGGTGGTTCCGACTCGTAGGTGACCCACGATTATTCGCCCAGCTTCACGTGATCGTAGCACTAAACCGTATTTATACGTCACACCCAGCCTTGTCGTACAGACCACTTTAGGTGGTTCCGACATCGTGGTCAGGTTTAGTTGTTTAGTTATTGAGATTGAGAATTGAGCTCTAGATTCAGCCGTACAGGTCACTTTAGGTGACTTCGGCTGCCAGTACTATGTTATTGATATGGTTTATATCTGAGCATTTGCATATCATTATGAGGCTTTGATTGGCATACCTGTGAGTATGATTATCATACATGTGAGCATGATTGACATACCTTTGAGTAGGATTGGCATACCTTGAGCTTGATTGACATATCTATACATACGTATATATGTTTATTTTCTAGAAAAGTATACAGGTTTTACGGAGAGGGGTTACAAAGTTTTGAGAAGTGTTTGGATTTGGAAAAGATTTGTTTTACTGACCCACTCAATTTTGGTTTTGCGCCCCTCCAGGTTCAAGAATTGCAAAGGTGTGGTGACTACGAGGAAATTCAACGGTGTTCTGACAGAATGGACCAAATGAGGACTCACCTTCGGGTGGTTCATCTTAGAAGTTGTATATTTTAAAGCTTCCGAACTGTGTAAATGGTTACGTCACTCTCACGTGACAGCCAGCATGCCCTCCTTCGGGACGGGGTGTGACAAAATCCTTCTTGGTTCAAAATTTTTGTTGCAAAACATTTGCACAACCATTCTCTTCCACCACTTGCCTGGACCGTTGGTGTTACTCAAAGGTCCTCATAGGTGCTTCTTTGGACTTCTAGGTTGTTTCGAGACCAACAGGGTCCATGAATACATTAGCCCTTGCATATAGCAAACTATTATTTGTTTACAAGAATGATCTTAACTAAACTTATATGACTCAAAACAAACTTAAAAGACTCAAAACAATGCAAAACAATAAAAAAGACTCAATTTAGACTCTAGGACTTAATTTGGACGAAAATAGAATTGGTTTTGACTCAAAAGACTCAAAAATACACTTTAGGACAGATTTGAAACAAATAGAGGGGATTGGGTTTTTGACGAATTTCAGAGAAAAACAAGTAACTAAAAGACTTAAAAGGACTTTTTACATGTGAGGATCTAAATACTTTCTTGGTTAAAATACGAACTCAAAAAATTAAATTATTTTAATCCAAACTCGAAAATGAATTATTCTAATTGAAAGGACATTTCGACCGAAAAAATACCCAATGATAGTGATTTTCTTGCAATCTTCCTCTCCTCTTTTGTTTTTTTTTTGTTTTTAAACAAACAATATTATCTACACTAAGGGGTGGGGGAGTGGGCTAATTCAGGCTAGAAATAATGTAGTTCAAGTTTGCCTTTGACGAAAATTGAATCTAAGATCTCTTATTTATCAATGAAGAAAAATATTTTTATACCGTAGTACTGAATGACTTCTCTCCTTTTTTTATAGGGTAAAATTTTTACCCCCTCAAGTGCATTTAAAATATAATAATTTGTTTTTTAAAAAAAAAAAAAAAACCCTAGAAACCCATCTCTCCCCCCCCCCCCGACTCCCTCTCCTCAATTCTCTTCACCGCCCCTCCCATCCAAAAACCCACCCCACCCCCACCTCCCGTAACTCCCATACAACCCTCCCTCCCTTCTCTCTCCACGGCCGACGCCCCCGCAACGCCATCCAAATACCCAAAAAAAAAAATCGCAATCTTGAACCCAGATGAGCACGTGGAAGAATAGGATCAAACGACCTCTCGATTTCGTCGATCCTCAGCTACACTATGAAATCGAACTTCTCTGGCAGTGCGTTGGTCTGTGCGTGCACCAAGTTCTCATCCAGATCGAGAAAACTCTGTCATCTTCTCCATAGAGACAGCGGCGTAACTGGTGGCCCGAACAATAGCTTATGGCAAACCGGGTTTCCTGATCCGGGTTCGCATTTTGGGCGTTGGCCGTGGAGAGAAGGGAGGGAGGGAGGGTTGTTTGGGGGTTGCGGGGGAGGTGGGGGTGGGGTGGGTTTTTGTTTGTTTGTTTGTTTTTTTTTTTTTTTTTTAAATAGGGTAAATTATTATATTTTAAATGCATAAAAAATTTATTATTTTTGCCACGTGACACAAATTTGGCAGTCACGTCAGTACAAATATGAATTTCATATTTGCCACATCATCACTTAATGGATTTTCTAACGGATGTATGAAATTGAAATAAAATGATAAATAAATGTATGAAATTAAAATGTTTTAAAGATATTATAAGTAATTGCAATAACCCAAAACCTGAGACAGTAAAATATAATTTACCGTTTGTTTCAACTTTAAGGTTTGCAAACTCAAGGCAAAATAGACGGACAGAAACAAACCTAGGAGTGAAGAGGAGAAAATGGGAGGCAGAATAAAAATCACTACCCATTCCCAAGAACAAAATGGCGTCGGATTATGTTTCGGCCCATGAAAGATCCAGACGCGAGGCCCAAGTGAGTAAGACCGTACAGACCGTAAACTTCGGGCCCTACCCTCTGATAGGTCACCATTCCATCCGCGTAGACGATTCCTTCCTCCAATTGTGGAACAACTTACCAACAAGCGAAACGAATTCAGTGAGGCGACTCAACTGCTCAGCGCTCAGCAATGGCGTCCACACTTCTGAAGCGAACGAGCTTCTCCGCAATGAAATCAGTGGTGGGAGGCTTCCAAATCGGAGCTCAATCAAGAGCCTACGCGGCCGCTGCAGTCGGGACCGACCTAGTCTCCGCTGCAACCAATGTTTCCCTCCAGAAAGCTCGCACCTGGGACGAAGGCGTCTCCTCCAACTTCGCCACCACTCCTCTCAAAGACATTTTCAAGGTTTCATTTTTCATTTATGTGTTTAATTTTTCTATTAACATTCTGGTTTCAGTAAAATTTCAAGATTTTGGAGGCTGAAAATTTTGTGAAATTTGTGTTTTCAGGGCAAGAAAGTTGTCATCTTTGGGCTCCCTGTAAGTTAATCTCTCTGTTTATATCATGGGCTTGATGTAATTTAATATGTTAGTGAGAAATGCCAAATTTAGGGTCAGTAAAACACTGAAAATTGAGTAAATTATGAATCAAAAGCATTGAATTTATGAATTTTGTGAGTTCCTAGAAGAGGAATTTAAGTGGGTATTTTGTTTTCAATATGTCAGGGCGCCTTCACCGGCGTTTGTTCTGTGCAACACGTGCCTAGTTACAAGAACCAGATTGATAAGTTTAAGGCCAAAGGGGTTGATTCTGTGATTTGTGTAGCTGTGAATGATCCATATGTTATGAATGGCTGGGCAAGCAAACTCGAAGCCAAAGAAGCTGTAAGTGTTCCCTTTATTAAGTGCCTTCTTCTAATTTACGGAAAGAAGTAACTTTGTAGATTGCACCGCTCTTAGTGACTTGAATTTGGTGCCAAAAGTAGATAGATGGATGTCTGGATCATCAGTTCTAAAACTACATTCTAAATTTTAGCTTGTTGTACTAAGCGGCTATAGCCTATAAGAGTTCCCAAGTCAGTCTCGAGGCTAACTACTTGGAGAACAATCGTGGTTTTTATGTTTGCGAATTTTTCTTTTCTAAATTGCTATGTTAGTCTCAACTCAAGTAGGTTCAGCTTGATAACTCCGTCTGCTTGTACATAATAAAAATCGCATTTGGCAATTCCTTCAAAGTTTAGCAGCAGTGCTTTATTGTTTGAATGTAAATTATTGCAACATCTTTTTTTTCTTTTTGAAATTTGGCTAAATAGATTGAGTTCTATGGAGACTTCGATGGGAGCTTCCACAAAAGCTTGGAATTGGATAAGATCTCAGTGGTGCTTTGCTTGGACATCGCTCTCAAAGGTATAATCATCATCGGTTGTATTTGTTTACATTTTTGTAATTGAGTGTTTTGGAGAAACAAATGGGAGTTTATTGAATAAAACCTAGATGGGTATCTGGATATTGCATCGGACGCGGTTTTTTATCCATGGACTGTTCTTTAGTCCTTTTACCCTATCCTCCCTTTTTTCCCAATAATTTTAAGGGTCACCCTCCCTCGGTTTTATCCACAATCTATCTTACTATAGCCATAAAAATTTCAGTTTTGAAGAAAGTTTTGCTCTCTTTATGCAGATGGTCAGCATATGTGGTCGACGGGAAGGTGAAAACTCTAAATGTGGAGGAAGTGCCATCAGACTTCAAGGTTTCTGGCGGGGACGTCATTTTGGGGCAGATCTAGTTTTTATAGTTCTTGTGACAATTTACACGGTGCTTGATCCATGATGAGACATGTCATCCATTTGTATCCTTAATAACTGAATTCTGTTGAGTTCTGTTGAGTTTTGTTTGTTAATAAGGTTATGAAGGCCGAGTTTTGGCATGAAGTTTTCGGATGTCATGGTTTTAGGAATGGGACATTTCCTGCCATTAGCATCATTACCTTTGTTTACTAGTTCATATTGGACCGAGACCCCTACCATATGATGCAATCACATTCTCCAGTCCAATTGCTGTTTTTTTCATGCATTACTAGTTTATCCTCCAGGTAAGTTTTCGTTGGTTCGTTGCGCCCACATTTGCTGTATAGCTCTTTCGGTTCATCCTCCTTGACAAGGGTTTCATAATCGATCGTTAAACTCATTTCGTATGATGGGAGTTGCGTGGGTGTTGGGCAGTGCTCTGTTGTGCTATCCAAATCACTTAACTAAATTATATTGGTAGCTTCAGGACTAACGGAAAAACAAACGCAGGACATGTATATTAAGTAAGTTTAAACAGTTGAGACAACTGTTAGGTAGTAGGAATTCCCCCAGAATCCACTTAATACTAATTACTAAGCTACAAAGGAAGGGAAAATGTGAAGGGGGAGGACAAATAACTCATCATGACACTACATAAATAGGCAATGAGCAGGACGCAAAACGAACCAGCAGCGTGTGGCTCTTCACATAACGTCACTTGCTGAGGTGCCTAATGCTTGAAAGGTAAAACACATTCCTTATGCTTGAGAGGTAAAACACAAACGATTCGGAGATGAGCCAAATCCAAACTCCATACGGCATCAGTGTCCGCTCTGTAGCAAAGCAGGTTTTTGTTAGGTGTTGCTTTACACATTAAACAAGGGGAAATAAAGCTGGACGAATGAAATGATTTTTGCTTCTATATTTTGAAACGTAGTTTCATCTTTCAATATTATTAGCAGCAATTAATCAATAGAAAATGTTACAAAAAGTCAATTTATAGAACCTGTGCAGAAGAGACTTCAACTCGGCCTGCTGTAGCAGCTTTGACGTGAAGGTGCGTCTGAACTTTCATCAGCAACTCTCCCACTGTTACTACAAGAATGAACAATAACATTCTCTAGCACACCTTTTCCCTTGAAGGAAAAGTTTGAAGTTTCTCCTCCGCTATGGCCAGAAACAGGAGAAGGGGCTCCAGGTCTCTTTGGAGTAAGGTCGAGGCGCTCAAACATTCTTGCAACACCAGCAATTCCTGCACTCATCTCACGTTGAACCCCTTTGGTCATCTCCTTGACTGAGTTGTTACGAGCAAGTAGCTTTTCCCTAAAGCCTCGAGTGCTTCTTGAGATTGACTCTTTGTATCTTTCACAATTTTCAAACATGTGTATAAGAAAGAAGTCAACATCAACTTCAAAGTGAAGTATAGCAGTAGCATTTCTACCTGGCTGAGGCAGCAGACAACTTGGATTTGATAGAATCAGGGAAATTGATAGTCTCGGATGGGCTTGGTCTGTGTGGACCATCTGGTGATGGCCGGCCATAAATAACTCTGGAATGACCAAGAAATAGTAAGCCACCAGAAGATAAAAAGAAGAGATGAATACTATAGACAACAAAGATGACGAAACAAGCTTAAATCATATTCATGTGCCATGAGATAACACCTTCTATCTATGCACTTCATACTATATTGCAAACTACATTCCAGGTGATCAGCACAAGGCAGTAACATATATCCGCTTCTTGTGTATGTATTAGAATAAAATAAGATTTACGTGCGTCCACATTAGGGAATAACTTTTGGCCTTAGGTGCAAACCTCGGCATGCAACGGATATCACTATTGGCAGCAGTGCTGCAAATAAAAGACAATGGAGATTGAATAATAGATGGCCTTTGAGAAGTTGGCGAATCTTCTGGAGAAGTTGGGTATGTTTGCTGGAAACCAGGCACACTTTCATGATTGGAAAAAACAAAAACACGGGAAGGACCTAGCCCAGGTGATCTCTGTCTTTCCCTTCTGCGAGCATAATGAGCTCTGCCAGAAGCAGCAGCAAGATGCTGCATGATGCGCTCATCCAAATCGGAGTCATCTGAGAAAGATTCCTGAAAAGTTCAAGTTTGTTGTCAATGAAAGACCCGTTACCAGCAAGAAAAATTAAGTATACAAAATTTATTATAAAAACTCACGTGCTCAGCATCAAAATCCTCATACGAATGATATGTTTGGGGTGCCATGGAAGATGTTTTTCTTGACCTTGAGTTCTTCTCATTTTGTATAGCAGCTAGAAGCTCTTGGCTACACAGAAAATAAAAAATTAATTGAAACATAACGGAAAGCAATCAAGAAGTAGCACATGCATGAACTAGAGAAAGTTACATACAAAGCAGGATCCTTCAGGGAAAATGACTGCCAACAAATTGGGCATTCTTTACTTCTTTGTGACCTAAAAGAATATCAAGATTAATAAGAAACAATAAATTACAATTAAGAATATCAAGATTAATACTTCTTTGTAGACCGTGGAGGATGGAAGTAATGTATCATTTGGCCATATAAAAGACATAACCTATATATAAAGTGGGGTTACCATTCTAATATACAGTGAAGATGATATTCGTGTTTGCAGCTGGTTATCTGAAACAAGGATAAATTTTCAGGGTTAAACACTCAGATAAACGTCTGAATCTATGAGTGCAATACTCGCAGACAGCACATACTTCACAACAAGGGCTGTTTACTATCCATTATGTGCTATAGAGATCTGGTACAACAGCAAATACAAGATATCTAGTTTTTGCGAAATAACTTTAGCATGATCACAACCATCACTGCAGATCCTCTTATCGCAGAAACTTCTCTTATATTTCAAAAACATACAGAGAAAAAGATGGAAGTCCAACTTGGTTCTCAAAAACACTTGCATTCTAAATCTTTGCGCATTCCCACCCGTTCATTTCCATCAAATCCGACCAAGGAAACCGAAAGATTGTATTAATAAAGGATATACTCCAATGAATCATCATGCTTTATGATAACAATATACATTAATCAAACACAAGATTACATTGTTTTTCCATCAACCAAGTTTCCCAGACACTGAAAGAACCCCGAAAACTAGCTAAAGAAACCAATTATCAGAATTGACCGTAGATCACAGTCCATTTCGGCTACCAAAACAAGAGAAACTGCAAAAACATAAGAACTCGAAATCAGACTGTCAAAACCGATTTCGACCATTTACATTAGCAATCACAATCAGCATTACGAGACTGACCCAGTAAATACGGTCAGTTGGGTATGCACAAAACACTGAGTTGTACAAAAATTCAAAAGCTTTTCAGGTTTTGAAGAGTCATACGGTGCCCGGGTCGTCGCAGTTGAACGGCTCGAGGCAGATGCTGCAGCAGTCTTCGTACGAGTCGTCGAGAAGATCCGTGGAGGAAGACGGGGGAGCTGAGATGGGTTTTGGATTAAGAGAAGAAGAGGGAGCGAAAGACGCCATTTTTGAGCAATGCGGAGGGAGACAGAGAGGTGCAGAGGGACTGAGGGAGAGTGATTTTAATGGAGGAGATGGGGGGACTGGTGTGAGGAGGAAGAAGAAAGGGAACCCTAGAAAAAGTGTTGGTGGGGAAGGAAAGAGTAGAGGGTCAAAGTAAAGAATTTTAGGGAGGAGAAAAATGAAAAAGGATCAGAAAACGCAGCGGCAAAGCTAAACACCGATTCACACGCTTTGGTTTGATGGAATCAATCAACCAAATACTTGATTTCAATAATATATAATCAATCTCTCTATTTATCATTTGCTCCTTTTGTTTTGGTTTATTGTTGTGCAAGGGAAAGTTTGCTAACAAAACCACTATTTTTGCAATTTTCTTACCAATGAAAGACAGAGAAATTTAGAAATTGACAGACACCAATTCTCTTATTTGGATTCATAAACATAGAAATTTAGAATTTCCGCGTGGAAAAAAAACTTGGAATTTGGGACCACCAAATCCCAAGTTCAAATTCCATGTAAATAGGTGTCATTTCTCAATTTCTATGATTGAGAGTTTAAAAATAACAAATTCCGTATTCAATTCCATTGTTATTTTAGGTTAACCAAACAAGAAAATTTACAAATTCTAGAAAATAAAATCTCGTCATTTCAATTTTCGTCATTTTTAAATTCTTTAGTAATCTTAAATTTCTTCATCCAAACATAGTGTAAATTTTTTAAAAGTATTTCTTGCTTGTATAAGGTTTTTTTTTTAAGGTATATGTCAACTGATTCTTTAAAAAACACTTATCAAGAACATGAACTACTTGAATTTCAAAGTGTTTACACCATCGTCAATGGCACTTGAATATCGGTCTCAAAAGAATGCTTCGATTTATTTTATCAAATTTTGTATTTCAATTTGAACAAGTAACTAGACCAAAAGTAGTGTGGGCAAGTAAAGACAATTGCTAACATACTTCAGCTTTCATATAAAAGATTTACCAGTGAGACCAATAATCAAGTGTCATCTCACCTAACATAAAACGAAATTTCATGACTTTAACTTAGAAATACAGTTTTCCTAAAATAATTAGCTTTTGAAAGACTCTATAAAGCTAATTTGGATGACTTGTTAGTCCCTTCTAAATTTGAAACTAACATTTGCTCAAATAACTAATCTAGATGACTTGAATGATATATATGCTAATTTGTCAGTGATAGAATGAAAATTTGAAAGTTGAAAGGACTATGAAAGAAATACAATAAGTGTGAGGGCCTGACGCAAAGGTCCATTTGTTTGGAGGGCAATGGCTCGCCATTGTATTGACCGTCCTACAACTCCAACCGCACACCATCCAAACAGAGGATACGACGCCGTTGCAATTTGGTGCTTATAGGCGTTATTTTCCCTCTATAATCGGCCGGCCGCAAAGAGAGAGACCGAACCGAGTCAGTGACTCACTGAGTCTCCGTCGATGGCTACACTCTCAGCTGCTCAGCTGCTCCATCTTCCACTCCCGCTTCAAACTAAAAAGCCTCGCCATGCCCATTTCCACTTTGAATCCCTAAACCCTAACCCCAGGCTCTTCTCCTCCAACGACGTCGTATCCAATTGTCGGCCATTACAGGCCATTATCAACACTCCCCTTATTGCCACCGACGCCAACTCCGAACAAGAACCCCTCACACTCCGCCGCATTTGCCAACCCCACGTGCCCGACCACGTGCTCAAAAGAATGGAGGACTTGGGGTTCGTCGTTCCGACGCCCGTACAGCGGCAGGCTCTGCCGACTCTGTTTTCCGGCCGCGACTGCATACTTCACGCGCAGGTCAAAATTCGTAGACCCTTTGGTGTCATAGGTGTGTTTTTGAATCCAAGTTTGAATCTTGTTATGTGACTTCTGGTAATTAGACAGGTTCTGGGAAGACGCTGACGTACCTGCTTTTGATATTTTCTGCTGTGAACACTCGGAGATCGGCTGTTCAAGCTCTCGTTGTGGTTCCCACTAGGGAACTTGGGATGCAAGTAAGTCTTCTGGTGTTAAGTTCTCTGGTACTGATTAAAAAATGGCTGTAATTTGCACTTAGTATGGTGTAATGTATGATTATTTTGTTTAAGTGAGTTTAAGAAGATGAATTTACGTGTGTTTTATAAGCAAGGTTACGAAGGTTGCTAGGATGTTGGCCGCGAAGCCTAAGGAAGGCGAAGTGGAGCAGAAATCGTGTACTGTTATGGCTCTTTTAGATGGGGGAATGTTGACCAGGCACAAGAGTTGGTTAAAGGTGCTGCATTTTAGTTTCGTTTTACATGTTTGCAATGATTTAGGTTTTCTGCAGTTGTATTATGTTACGAAGAAATATTGTATTTTAGTAATGTGCTTTATTCGGTGCTTAAATGTTGTTTCAGGCGGAGCCCCCTACTATTGTGGTGGCAACGATTGGGAGTTTGTGCCAAATGCTTGAGAAGCAGATGATTAAGCTTGAATCGATGCGAGTGCTTGTAATTGATGAGGTAGTTTTGTGTGCTAGATGAGTTGTTATATGAGTAGAGTAATGTATTGTCCAAAAGGCTAACCAAGGTTGTCTGAAAATGCTATTGAATGTACAATGCCTTATATTCGCTGTTTGTTTAGGTTGACTTCATGTTCAGTTCCAAACAAGTCGCTTCTCTTCGGAAGCTGTTGACATCCTACACTTCAATCAATACCCGACAGACTGTTTTTGCCAGTGCTTCCATCCCTCAGCACAGACGATTTTTACATGACTGTATACAGCAGAAATGGACCAAGGTTTGTTGATATAGTTCTAGTTTCGTGTCAATATTATACAGATTTCATGTTGCATAACATTATGTGCGTATTTTACAGAGTGATGCAATTCATGTCCATGTCAATCCAGTTCAGCCTATGCCATCATGTTTACAGCATAGATTTGTGGTAAGAAATTTCTTAAATATGCAACCCATTCCATCCTGCTTTCTGGTTTACCTGTCATTAAATCATCTATACATCTGCTTTGATACTTTTTTTCAACAATTGTCTTCATGACATTGCATAAGAGACATCTATGTTCTTAATGTTCTAATTTCGAAGATGCTAATTCTGTTCATACTTGACAGATATGCCGTAAAAACAGAAGGAATGGGACCTTGCTGTCCTTATTACAGTCAGACGCGCCACAGTCTGCTATTATTTTTGTCGGCGAGCAGGTTTGCATTGCATATCCTTCTTTGTAATTTTATTTTTCATGGTGAAGTAATCATAACTTTAGTAGCATACATAGTTCATAATTGTATCAACAGTTTACCCAGAAAGTAAACCTCTAATGAAGATGTCGTTTAGGCATGGTTCATATGTGACCGACCGAGTGCTAGAGATGTACTTAAAATTAAAACTTATAATCTGTAATTGTTGATATAATATGAGTTCATTTTTCGAATTATATAGATGGGCTATCCATTCTAGTAATATATAGTTCTTGTCTATATGGTCAGTCTGAGAAGTCAAAGAAGGCTGGAAATGCTCCATCAACAACAGTATTAATTGATTTCCTGAAGGCTTCATACGAGGGATATTCAGACATCCTCCTTTTGGAAGAAGACATGAATTTCAATTCACGAGCAGCTTCTCTATCGGTAAGTTATGTGCTTTTCCCTTCTGGTCTGAATCAGTAAATCATGTTCAATAACTTCAATTCCTCGAAAGTAATATTAGTTCTAACGGAATGCTGAACAGAAATGCAGTTTCTGTTTTCAATTTCTGACTTACCTCTGGAAAGCATCCAAAATTTCCATTTTGCGACAATTTACTCTTGGTCTTTTGTATGCAATCATTTCGAGTGGAAATCTTCTGATGTATCTATTTACTTAATTTAGGAAGTCAGACAAGGAGGAAGCTATCTTCTTGTGTCAACAGATATAGCAGCCAGAGGGGTTGACCTGCCAGACACTACTCATATATACAACTTTGATCTGCCAAGAACTGCTGTTGATTATCTTCATCGAGCTGGAAGAACAGGTAGGAAACCGTTTTCAGACAAGAAATGCTCCGTTACCAACATTATAATGTCAGAGGAGCGGTTTGTTTTACAAAAATATGAAAATGAATTGATGTTTAACTGTGAAGAGTTAATTGTATAGAACCAGTGTAAGTCTTAGTCTGTAGCTCCAAGGAGTAGATTATGTATCACTTTCCTTGCGGAAGGAAAACCAAAAAGCAATCACAAATGCTTCATAGCATAACTGCATTTGCAGATGCTCGTTCAGTCCTTTTTCCTTATCTTCGGGTTTCAGGAATATATAAGTCTTTGGACCATAAGTAGTACACTGTCTTAACGTTTGATGGACAAGATTGTCCTCTCAAACAACAATATGGATAATTGCATATGTCATTTTCTGTACACACTACACGCATACATTTGAAATGAATCATAACTCGTTCTCGAAAGTGGATTAACAGAATTAGGGTGCACGGGAGTTGGTACTTGATTGTGTTATTTTAGGAAGAAAGAAATGGCAGAGTTGCTTATAGCTGCTTAATGTTTACAAAATAACAAGGTTTATACACATCCGGATCATGACTGTCTTGCTCTATTGACATGAGTATATATGTTGATTCCTATTGCATTTTCTCTTTTAGTTCCTTCCTGGTATACCCATAAACTAGAAGGACGGATGGATGTTTCAGATCACGAGTCCATCGACGATGGTTGAATTTTTCAATATGATGGTTATACCCGAGCGGATGTAGAACCCTTCTGACGATCTGTCAGCTTCCTGTACGCCCTGCAATTTCATGCATAAACAATGAGAGCAAATTAGACTAACGCATGTGTGTGATTGACAGTCGTTAACTGTTAGGGGTAACTAATAACAGTGGGCATGTCGTACCTCCGAGTTTGCAATAACAACGTTCTTCCCAATCCTTGCGTTTTTGTCGATGATGCAGTCTCTGCACATGACATGAAGAGCCATGATAAGCAAATAATTTTGTTGAACACTGTAAAACTCATAAAAGACAGGGAGGTTTAAGCAGCTTGTACTTGATTTTTGTATTCTCTCCAATTCCCACGGGAACTCTTCCTTCTGCTAACAGTGACACTCTCTCAGAATCGGTTTCGTAGTAATCAGCGCCGAGCATTACTGTGTCCTGCGTGCGTTTTCACAACCTCCGTTTGAATTACTCTTTTGTGTTGTTGCATTAACAGGTTTAGATTAATATTCTTCGGAATTTATGAGACAAACCTTCAGGTGAACATTGGAGTTTATTTGTGATCTGATACCGACAACGCTGTGCTCTATGAAGCTGTCAGTTAAGAAACTTCCATGTGATACGATGGAGTCAACTATCTGCACAAGGAGGAGGCATGTTTTATATTTGTAGGGGTTTCAGGGAGATTCAAGTGCAAATGAAAGACAGAGCTGCCAACCTTGCTGTTGTCAATCTTCGATGGAGGTAAGTTTCTCCTTGAAGTATACATCGGCTTTGCTGCATCATAGAAACTAAATTTATTTGGCTGAAAGGTATAGAAAAATAAACGTGCGTTAGATTCTATCTGTGAAAGTAGAAGCTTCTTCCGCTAGACTGCTACAATGGAAACAACACACCATTCAGAGGATTAGCTTTGTACTTACATGCTCGGTGAGGGCAAGGTTGGCCTCGAAGAAGGATCGGATGGTTCCAATGTCTTCCCAGTAATCATTGAAGAGATGAGCCTGCGCAGCGGTTTTACACAAAGAAACGTCATGGAATGCTGAGTGAACTCTCCGAGGCAGAGCCAAAATACAAAGTGAAAACCATAGGTTAGTGAGTTCAAATTCACATATAAAATTCTCAGAGAGAGATTTGATACCGACCTTTATGAAGAATTCTTTGGCCGAGGCAGGGATTATCTCTGATCCAAAGTCATTCGCTGTCGGAAAACGCCATCTGACTCGAACAGTTAGTGTAGTTTTCTCAAATTTCTTTAACATAGGGTGCGTGTTTGTGCGCGTAAATGTGCAATTTTATTTATAAATCATAAGTCATATATGATTAGCACCTTAAGAGATTCAGAAGTATCTCCTTCTTGAAGACATACACTCCCATGGATGCAATGTATGGTTTCTTTAGAGCTTCCTCCACCGAAAGTCCTAAAACGGTTGTATCTACTGCCTGCAGATTGATGTTTGTACCAAATTCAGCATACAGGTATTCATATTCCAATGCCACATCAAATTATTGTAGCTTAAGCATGAGTATTACCATTGCCTTCAGGTCATCTCCTTTAGGCTTTTCGCTGAATGATAGGACCCTTCCTTTCTTGTCTATCTTCATCAGACCAAAGTCTGAGGCTCGGCTATCAGCGAAAGAGAGGAAAGTCCAATAAGGTTGATGAGCAATAGTTGTAACTGAAATCAGAGTTGAAAAGAGATGTGTTGCGCAAGCGTACCTATCATCCATTGGCAAACAAGAAATGGTAATATCGGCGCCACTCTGCCTATGATTCTGCGGTGAATTGAGAGGTAAGTTTTGATGTATTTGAGAATTGACTTTTTGAATGTTTTCAATTGAAGAAAAACTAAATGTTTTGCCTTACTTGAACATAGTCCAAGTAGTCCATTCGATACAAATGATCTCCGGATAGAATCAGCACATCCTCAATGTACTTGCTTCTTGCATCCTGCAGCATGAAAAGCCTTGATACAGATTATAATGCCTCCAGATTTTAGGCCATCTGCCTCGAATTATTTACGAGATAATGAAAAAGAGAGTAAAAAGGAAAGGGAGAAACAAAGAGAAGTATAGATGCTCCGTAAATTTTTAAAGGAACTCCAGACCTAATTGTAGACATCGAAATTTCAGTAAAACAAATGTTCACCAATGCATTAAAGTTTTGACGTGTCAAGGCATACATGGCATACGCCACGTGTTGTACAAATTATACACGTGGCGTGTGACTCAACAAAATAGGGAGAAATACCCTTGAAGGATTAAACAAGTTTTTCTTCTTATTTTGGGCAATGACAAGGCAAGTACACTTCAAGTTTAAAATGGTGTTAAGTGGGAAATTAGACCATAAGTTACACCACTTCAAGTTTAAAATGGTATTAAGTGGGAAATTAGGCCATAAGTTACACCACTTCAAGTTTAAAATGGTGTTAAGTGGGAAATTAGGCCATAAGTTACACCACTTCAAGTTTAAAATGGTGTTAAGTGGGAAATTAGACCATAAGTTACACCACTTCAAGTTTAAAATGGTATTAAGTGGGAAATTAGGCCATAAGTTACACCACTTCAATTTCAATATTGCATTAAGTGGGAAAATTAGGCAATGGTGCTTGCAAAGGAAAAAAATATTTTGTGGTGGTGATTCATTCTCAAAGCCTATAAATAGGCTTCTCCATCAAGGTATCAAGCATCAACCAATTCACAAATACATTTCTCTACTCTCAAAATGGAAGAGAATACTCCCCACACATCCAAAATCCTTGAAGCTTTGAAACTCTAAAGCTCTCAAGCATCCAACCCCCAAATTCCCAAGAATCCCGAAGAATGGAGAAAGCACTCTTCATTCTTCGTCAAATCCTCCTTCAAGATCAAGCCCCGACGGCCCTTGAAGAACTTCCACCATTATTCAAGATCAAGCCCCAACGGCCCTTGAAGAAAGCGTTCATCATTCATCATTCATTCTTCAAGATCAAGCCCAACGCCCCTTGAAGATCCATTCATCATCTGTTCATCCTAAGCTCAAGCCCCAACGGCCCTTTGGATCAACGACCTCAACATCCAATCGTTCTTCAAGATTAAGCCCAAAAGCCCTTGAAGATCCGTTCATCCATCAACCTTCAAGATCAAGCCCAAAAGCCCTTGAAGAAATCCACACAACCATTATTCAAGATCAAGCCCCGACGGCCCTTGAAGAAAGTGTTCATCATTCATCAACTGTTCATCCTTAGATCAAGCCCCGACGGCCCTTTGGATCAACAACTCATCCACAAACCCATACACCCATTCTTCAAGATCAAGCCCGACGGCCCTTGAAGAAAGTGTTCATCCGTTCATCCTAAGATCAAGCCCCAACGACCCTTTGGATCAACAACCTCAACAAATCCACACATACAACAGTTCATCCAAGATTAAGCCCCGACGGCCCTTGGATCAACAAACAAATCCACACATCTATTCTTCAAGATCAAGCCCAAAAGCCCTTGAAGAAAACCAACCGTTCTTCAAGATCAAGCCCAAAAGCCCTTGAAGATCCGCTCATCCATCAACATTCAAGATCAAGCCCTGAAGGCCCTTGAAGAAACTTCCATCAACCTTCAAGATCAAAGCCACGAAGGCCCTTGAAGAAACTTACAACTGTTCATCCAAGATCAAGCCTCGACGGCCCTTGGATCAACAAATCTACATCTTACGGAGATAGAATCAGAGGACCAAATTTGAGAGAGATCGTAACCCAAAATCATTAAACACAAAAAATATTATTTTTGTACACGTTATTCTTGTTTCTTGTTTCAAGGAACTTTCGTGTTCACACTAATTACTTCAAATTAGTAGAGGACAGACAGAAACTTATACTCTTTTAATTCTTGATTTAAATGCTTAGTCCTTAATGGCTCTTGCTCTTTAATATAATGCAATAGCTCTCCGGATGTTCCCTCAGGGACGATCGAAAGATCTTAATCCTAACTGTTTCCATTTTCTGAAGAAAAATGACCAAGATCTCCATGCAGCATAGTTTCCTCCTACTAGCTTTTGGGTTCGTCAACGGTTCTCTGGCCAAGGTGAAGGTTGGGGTTTTATAACTTAGGAAAGGAAATTTCTCTGTGAATCGTACAAACCGGGGTGCATCTATAGTATCACTTTCAATCCCTGACAAAAATGGAAAGCTGCCTGACATTGTCCTAGGGTTCAATTCGGTCAAGGATTACATGAACATTTCCTCTCCCTTCGGTGCAATTGTTGGACGGGTTGCTAACAGGATACATGGCGCTGCATTTACGATGAATGGAACCCGTTATTAGCTAGTTCTGAATGACGGCAACGACATGGTTCATGTTGGTCCAAGAGGATTCAGTCGTGTTATTTGGAAAGCGAAAAGATATGAACCGTAGCGCTAACCCTAGCATCCAATTCTCCATCACAGCTTTGATGGCGAAGAAGGATTTCGATCTCCTTGTCACTGTGATGTACAAACTCGTTCGAAACAACCAAATGATCGTAACAAGGAAAGCCACAGCTCTAAACAAGCCTACTCCAGTGAATCTAGCCCACCATGCCTTCTGGAACCTAGGTGGTTACAACAATAGCAACATTTTACACCACTATGTGCAGATATTCGGGTTCCATGTCACACCAGTGGATAGCCAGTTTATACCTACTGGTAAAGTCATGCCGGTGAATGGAATACCTTATGATTTTCACCTCACCTCACACCATCAGAAGCAGGATCAAGAAACTACTGAACGGTTATGATATCAACTATGTGCTTGATAGTTTCAAGGGTGACAGAAAACTGAAAAGGGCTGCTTTCTTGCACGAAAAGAAATTGGGAAGAGTGTTGGAGCTATGGACAGATGCTTCAGGCATCCAGTTCTACAGCGGTAACTACTTAAAGGGTGTGAAGGGAAAAGGTGGATCTGTTTCTAACCGACACAGAGGACTATGTTTGGAGACTCGAGGCTTCCCTGACGTAGTGAATCACCGAAATTTCGCTTGACAAATTGTGACTAAAGGAAAGCCTTACACACATTCTAGGCTGTTCAAATGTACTTCTCCATAGCTTGCATAGATATTTCTGTATTTGATATGTATTAGCTTTTTCTTGAAGCTCAAGAAACAAAGAAGACAATCTGAATTTTTTTTCTGTTTATCAAATTGTCGTTTTTGAGTACCTCGAAAAGCCAATGGAATTGACGGACAGCATCTGCAGTACCCTGGAACCACCTCTGCCCTGCCTCGCCCGGAGTTTGAGTAGCTGCTAGAACCTGGCATAGAGCGAAAGAGCGATATTAGGGTGTGTAACATTTTGTCGAAATTACTTGATGCTGATTAGTTAAGTGGGGGATTAATTATGTTAATCTAAATACGTACCTCTACATATCCGTCGCCGAAGGAGGTGCCGCTGCCAAAGTTGTAAGCTCTTGAAATGTGCCTGTTGAGTGATGCTGAGTTGAACTGAGTGAGGATATAAACTTTGTTGATTCCACTGTTGATGCAGTTACTCATTGGGACATCAATCAGCCTGTATGCTCCCCCTATTGGAACCTAAATTGGAAAATGTAGAACAAGAGGGAGCATTCCTCAACAATTTATGATTGGTTCAGTAAGCATTTCGTTTTTTTTTTTTTTTTCCAGAAATAATATCACACACTATTACACTAACAGCAACACGTTAAACATATGAGCACAAACTAGAGCAGAGTGCATTACGTCCGCTATTTGCATTGATTTGCATCAATATTATCTAAAATGTACTGATAATGTATGAATATATACATTTTGTCACAACAATAACATCAACCATTATCAACAACGCATTAATTATATGTTGTTTAAAGAACGGACGCATGTTTCATAGTCGGATGGAGTAAAGCTTCAAGTTTTGTAACAAGGAAGAAAGACGTACAGCAGGTTTGGCACGCCTCTTGGTGAGTGGGAAAAGCCGAGTCCCGGCTCCACCTCCCAGTATGATTGCAACGACTGTTCGTGGATCCCTCTTCTCAATATCTATGTCCCTCAACTGTGATATGCACCCAAACATCATATATCAATTCCACATATGCATATATGCAAATGTTAATTGGGCAAGCATTACCATACCATGGGCTTCTTGTCAAACCCCTAAATAAGGAAAATAATTTTTGTACTATTTCTTTCACACTTCTATTAAAAACTATCTCTTGATTCTCTTTTTCTTTAATATGATTCAAATGACAGAAATAAACAAAAATATGCATAGAAAAAAAAATATTCGTGTGAAAATGTGATCTGATTAGTATTATTGTTTTCGTTTTCACTAAAAAAATAAAATAAAGGGCACTTTTGGCACTTCATTTTTAGCCATCTCTACTTTTAACCGAACGTTTTATAAGATTTTCTGCACTCATAGAAACTTGGAGGCCTGCAAAGATGCTTGGAGAAAATGAGTGTTAAAATCGCCAGCGAAGAAAAAACGTTTGACTCTTCGTTGTACACGTGAACTTGAACAATGCCAGGCAATCTAAAGCCAAGTAGGCTTTAGACACGATGATTTTATGGAGAGAAGCAATCTCATGCAAATACAACAATCATGCATGAAATGAAATTCATGATTGCAATTAGCTAATTAGTCAGTAAGTAATGCTTTTTTATGTGGTGAGTTCGAGAGCTCACTTTGGCCTCCCCCGCTATATCAGCAGCAACAGACATGCAAACATGCTGCCCAACCCTACCATTCTTATTAGCTTCAACTTGAAGCTGAGGCAGGTTTAGCTTCTTCCCCATCATCTCTCCACTACAAAACTTCACAAGCCTCTTGTTCCTCCCCGGCACTCCTGCCGCACTGCGCCATTGGCTGGCGGCAGAGAGCGAAATCAGGCAATGATCCGCCGACACTGCCATTTTTCTTCCCTCGGATGTTAATTCCAGGGAGGGGAAGGAAGCAATAGAGCTTACTTGATAGCTATTGGAGGATTGGGACACGTTATCCAGACTCAATAGCGTCCACCAGTTACATATTGTGTTTGTATTTTTACCACCATGAAAAGCTTGTAATTACAGATTAGTCCCTCGTGATTTCTTGGAATTTATGAATCAAAGAATATGCTGGGCAGCCCTCGATTGTTCATGTTGACAAGTTGTAACTATTAACCAACACAATGATTTCAGTATATGTACTTGTATACGTTATAGTTGGAGTGCTAGAAACAAAATTGAGAGTGTTAAATCGCTATCTCTAGGAGAAGTCTTAATTAAATTCAATCTAACAATAAAAAAAGGGTTACTTGAGTTTGGTTTTAATAATATGTATCATTCAACGATGCAGATGTTTTACCCATTAAATTTGATTTCGAAAATTGTTAAATCTTTTTAATTCCAATCACACCGTTGAATTTTTTTTTATTTTGCATTGTTCTTTAAACATCTCTTGAGCCTATAACTACAAAAAGTACTATTGGAAGAAGAAAAAAAATCTAGAAGGTATGGTTTGGAAGGAGTTTTTGGAGGATATGTACAAGGGTCATAGACTAAGAGGAAAACTTACATGAAATAAATTTACTGTTATGTTGTGTTTTTTGTCGAAAAGTGTAATGTCATATATAAATTTTTCTTCACATGGTAATGTATGATTAAATCGAAATGCTACTTGACAGTAAACCTATTCCGTGTAAGTTGTTCTCCATAACCTAAAAAGTTTCTTTTTTTTCTTTGGCATCAAATTCAACTCATTCACAAAAGTTGAATGTTTCTGCACAAACTATGTAGCATCATGTAAGAACGTCAAAAGCCCCTCGTTACAAGTAACCCAATCTGCAGGTATGACCTAAAGTTCCATATTACGCAACAATCTCCAACAACTAACCAAATTCATTTTGAGACCCAAAAGTAACTCGTATTTGTCCACAAACGTACTCTCGATCACATGGAAAAATAATCCATATCTTCAAATCGAAGGGGTTAAACGGAGGAGGATTCTCTATCCTTCTATTCTCATCCCCTCCTATCACACGTTATTTTTTGTCTTATTATCTCTATAAAAAAATTCAATATAAGATGTTGACGTGGCTTAACTGTGACCGTTCAAATAGGAGGGCATGAAATGGTAGAGAGATTAGGAGGGTAGAGAATCCTCCTCTGGGTTAAACATAGATGCATGCAAAATTATAGTTCTCAAGAATTATTTTTAAATGAACAGTGTCAAATATATTCATAAACCATCTCCAACCGACTGAAGGGGCTAAACATAGCCCCCTCAATAATTTTCAGAGAGGTGCATTCAACTGGAATTGTAATGGATTTATAAATATCATAGATTTTGATGGAGTTTAATTGATTTATAGAAATTTTACTTAAAATTTTGAGTGAATTCCCTCAAATTCTCAGGGATAGAGTGAGATTTGAGAATATTTTACATCACAAAATTTCTCGAATTCCCCAACTTTTTAAAATCTTTTAAAATTAAATTATATTTGCATAAAGGGAGTCAAAGTAGTGATCATGACATGTCGGGACATTTCTTTGTCGGTCCCATCCACTCCACCTGGAATGTTATAAACTTCTTTAAAATTATGATTTTTTTTTCTTCCAAAAGTAAGAATTTTATTAGATTCGAATGGAAATGTTTACATCAGAAGCCAATATTTAAACAACCATTGTAGCTTAAGACCATCCCAACAATGAAAGAATGCCCTCTTCCCGCCCAACAAACAAAGCCACTAGATGCGTTGTTTTACAAATTCGAGGAGCAAAGATAAATTCTACTGACATTAATTGATGTTTCAAACACTGAATATCAAAGAGGATGCCTTCAGTCACAACATTGTGTTGCATATTCCCATTAAGGATATCTACAAAGACAATTGGAGTCTGACTCTACCTGAACAACCGCAAACCCATTATCAATACAGGCCAACACCGCCATTCGTATCCCATCCACTTCTGCCATCAAACTAAATTTATATGGCAAATCTCCACAGCCGCCCGCCCCCTGAAAGATACCCGAAAAATCTCTTGCTACCTAACCATATCCACCACGGGCCGACGCCTTGAACCAAGCTCCATCACAATTCACTTTAATTGTACGAAATGGTGGTCGTGTCCAGCATATAGGAACAACTAGAAATTGCTGCCCGCGCGTTGCTGCGGGATTAGAAATTGTATGGAAGATTGATAAGCTGATTCTAAATCATCAAGTTTCCAACTGCGATGCATGACAATCAATTGAAACAATTGAAACGTTTTCTCTAAATTATTAAATAGCATTTAGCACAAACTGAGTTGCAAATTCAAATGCAAGAATGCAAATGAAGATAAATTGTCAAATTCCATATATGTCAAACTTCATTTAGGAAATTGAAAACCATAAAAATAAATTGATAGACCCACAAAGATAGTTCACAATTATAAATGTTGAATGCTGATAAAATATATAATACAATGATCTCGGTTTCTCTCATAATTATAGAATGTTGAATGCAAACAACATACCCAAATTACCAATCAAACCAATCAAAATTTCCACTCCTTGGTTAATATCAGAAAATGCCAAATCCAAATCTACGAACCCCACACTGTCAACTGATTCCTTACCAAAATTATGGCAAGTATTGTTATACAATTCCAATAATGTTGTTCGAGTACTCCTTGAACATGCATCATTTGGTATATCCATCCCTCTCTCTCTCTCTCTCTCTCTCTCTCTCTAAAAGTCATTGTTAACAGTAATTATATAATAACAGGCTAAAAGAACTGTCAACTACGTTATCAAGGAAAAACAAATGTCAATGAGAAATGAAGATAAAGAACCTTTACTGGTGTACTCAAGAAATTGAGAATCGTTATCTGCAAACGGCCTCCAATCGGATCACCTCTAAAATTCTAAGGTGCTACAGCTACTTTAAGAATAGCTTATGTCCAATACAACCCTGCAAGAATAGTCATTCTTCAATATTTAAGCACGATTTGAAACAGGGCATTAAGATAAGGTTACAAATATAGTAAGCTCCCAATCGAGTATTTAAATGGAAGAGATATGTGAAGGCAGTCAAAGAACCCAAATATATCAATGTTTCAAACGAATATCTGTCACAAAATTATTGCACTCGAACTACCCTAATAACACGTCATGGGCACACTCCCATGATTATCTGAAAAGATATCGTTGGTTACCGTTGACAGTATATGGCATTCTCTTAAATTGAAAGCGTAAACAATGAAGAATGCACATGAACAACACACAATTTCTTTGGAAAACAGTTTTACAATGCAGTAGTTTTGAATTGGAAATTCAAAATGAACTTAGTTCAACCTACAAAATTCAATAATTTAATCAAATCAAAACAAATGAGCAAAATTGTCTTATATTAAACACATAGTTGGAGCTTGGAACGCATAAAATGAAAAAGAAAATTAGACCTTGCTTTCCCCAACTAATTTTCAAATGTATCTGTGTTAATTTGAAACCAATATTTATCCAATTAGAAAGTGTAGAGTCGTTGATATGTAAATTGTTTAACCTTGAGGCTTGCGATAACCACAAATGTTGGCGGGACTAATTGTTGCAACATAATGGAACTGAAGTTCTTTGCAACATCAATCCATAGTGTAACTCTTTTTTTTTTTTTTTTTTTTTTGCCTTCTCTTGAATCAATAGACATAAACAAAAAAAAGTTAGTAAGAAGTATTGTATTTACAACATTTGGAGATGATTTGTCAACATGCTTTTACCTAATATTTTGAATGTAGATTTACACTTGTTTTCAAGCCTTCTAATCAGCCACTTTTTGTTCTAACTCTTGTGTTGCATTAATGTGTCCAAGAACATCTTGTAATCTCAAAGAAGCTTATGATAATTAATATAATAAAACCTAAACAAAATACCAAATTCAAATCCAATATAACGAAAAACTAAATTAACTTGTGGTAAATTGATGGCTTACTTTTTACAGCAATTCTGTAATTACAAATTCTTCTGTTAAATTACGGTGACTGGGAGATGTTGACGCTGCATAAGCTATTTGAATTATGCCTACTATAATCAACCAGGGAAGAATGCTTTGTAACCAAATAGAGGTATTGGAGGACTGATACGCATGAAAGCTGATCTGCATTCTATAAACAACATAACTCTACCAAGTTCACAATTCTCTTAAATTCCATTAAAAAAATCTACCAAACGGAAAATTCACTTGGAATTTACTGTTAAGCCAAACTACCAAGAAATTGGAACTTATTTTGTAAAATAATTAACCTTTTCAAGCATTGTGGCAACTCCTTTGTTCTCATCATCCAAAATTGCTCCTTTTATATAGAGTATCCATCAATGCATTGCTGCTCAACACCCAAATCATCAAATGCGAGAAAAAGCATATTCTAAGGTTGAAATGGAATTCCACAAATTCCCCAAATGGGCAACTCTAGAATTGTAAAGAAATTGTCTTTATCAAATCTTCAATTAATTATAGCAAAACCCAAAACTCAAAAAGTTTTAATCAGCTTACATGACCGCTCATCAGCAAGCTCAGAGCAACAAAACCCAACAAACCCAAAATATTCGAATAAATCCCACACAAAAAAAATCTACTTAAAAAAAACCTACAAACAACAAATAACTCACTACTTTTTCATACGAATTCGAACAGAGGTATAGAACATACCGATTTGAAGCAAGAAATCTCAGTGAAAATCCTCGAGGAAGCCACGTTGATCTCAAGAAGCAGAGAAAATTAGGGATTTTTTTTTTCTGACTCCAAATCATCCTTAAGACGGCGCTATTCTGTCGAAAAAGAAGAAGGAAAAAAAAAAAAAACCAAATTAGGGATTTTTTTCAGTGAAGAAAAAGAGAAAATTAAAAGAAGAGAAAAGAACATTGGGCTTTTATTTCAACTTTGGGGTTTCAATTTCCGATCTCTCTAGGCAGAGGAACAGAGATAAAGCAACAACAGTAGATTAAGTAAGGGGAAGAGCGGCGGTGGTACTTGCAAAGCTCGAATGTTTGTGCATGCAATTAGAATAATTATTTATCATATGTTTTGATGAGGATTATGTATAATTACATGATACCCCAGCGAGGGTGAAGCTCAAGATCCAGAACCTGTTCTTCAAAGGTGATGTTGGCACGACGGACATCGGGGAGGAGATAACTGAGCCACTATAATCTGCAGCTCTTTTCTTTTCAGACTTGGGTTTGGTTGCAAAATTGAAAACACATGGTCAACTCGTTAGGCAATAATTGGTAAAAGCAAGAGGGATCTGAGGAAATATAGAGATAAAAAAAATACCCAGGAGAAGGAGCGGAGGAGAAGGAATGAGGGAGGAGCCTGGACGGGGAGAAGTTGTCCAACGGAGGAGAAGGGAGGAGATGCCTCGAATGGAGGAGGATGTTGTGGTTCGCAGTTCTAAGAGAGTGAATCGGACAGGTTCATCGGGAAACAAACGGAAAAGCTTCGTTCTCAAAACAAATGGAAAGGCCGAGCTTTTACATTCCCACGATGACCAACACGTGTACAGAAGGGGTAAATTAGTAAATAAACTGTACAACGGAAGTGAAAAGGCTGAATATGCCTAACAATTGAGGGGCAAAATTGTCCGCCCACTGGTCATCCACAGTACCACCCTAATTGGGTTTTAGTATATATAGATATTACTTACCTGGGCAAAAGCTTGTCGCTGCACCCTATCTACACATGGTGCCTTCTCTTGTTTCAACTCTTCAAATTCACACCATTGTCTCTGCATTAGTTTTATGGATTCCAATGGTTCCACATTCTTCTTTTCAAATACTAGACAATTCCGAGACTTCCTGTACCATTGTAGAATCCAACTGAACAGGGGTCCCAAACCAAAATACCCGCAAACGGGCAATGAAAGAACATGTGGCATTGTGTTTCCTCAGCAACCCCGCAAGTCGGGCTAGTAGTAGGTAGGCCAATGCCCCGACGCTGGAGGTTCATTTTAACCATCAAAATACTTTTGCAACTCCTCCAAATAAAATGCCGTAATTTATATGGGACATCCAACTTCCATATTATCGACCAAACCTTGCTCCGCCCTTGTCCCGCACTCGACTCCCCCATCCTTTGCGTCCAAGCTCACCATTACGGTTACGATCCTGAGCAATGTAATACCCAGTTTGCACCGAGTACACCCCACCTTTTGTATAGTGCCATATTAATTTATTTCTGCACCCAAACTTGCTTAGCGGCATACTCAAAATACATCGGGCTTCCTCACTACTAAAACAGGTAGTCACGATATCAGTACGCCATTGGCCAAGGCTACTATCAATCAAATCCACCACTCGTTCCGACATATTCTCATGGTTCGAAATAGGTTTGAAAGTTCTCGGGTAGGCAACCATGGATCAAGTTTAACTCGTATTTGTTTCTGCTCACCAACCCTCCATCAAATTCTAGCTCGTAGGATCGTCCGTCCTTAAAATTATGATTGAATACACCTAAAATTTCGGAGAGTTACTTAAAATCCTTATTGAATACCTGGATTTGTATAAAGAATTAAAATCTCTCAAAATCCACACCCCTTAGTTTTAAGTTTATTTTTAAAATTTACTAGTTAATTTAATTAAATTACCATGTTAAAATAAGGCTATCCGAATATGATTTTTGAGTGTCACATACTTAAAAAACACCCATAAAAATTTCAAAACGAAACCTATTAACCAATTAAATCATTATTATATTCAAATACAAAGATGGTATAAAATTCAAAGAACATTGTATGTGTGATATCCCATCGCCAAAATTAGTATTTTATTTCTTTTTAGACGTATTTTGGAGATTTTACAAAAGTTAGTTTGTTAAATTCTCTAGTTTCGAAAAAAATGAAGTGAGGGGTATTTCTGTCATTTCCAACTTCATTCTAACTTTTCGGTCAAATCTTAAGTTGTTTTTGGTAGAGCTTGAACCCACATGACATGCCCCGATCCCGATGTCCTAGGGACATTGGGATGGCCACGTGCTGGCCGACACCCGAAGGTGATGCAAGCCATTTAATGAATGCATATGCTGAGAACATGAGAAACATGCGTATAAATTTTGCTCGAATACTAAGATAATAAAATAATATTCAGCTGCCAACAATGAAAACATAATGATAATGCATGACATGTTCCAAGCATACATCTAATTCAGAGTACAAGCGGAAGATAAAATAGAAATGTGCTATTACAATAGAAGTCAAAGCAAAGAGAATGACACTGTATCACTAGTAGGGGAATGCCTTGTATCTCGGATCATATTCCTCATCCCTATGTCCTGAGGGGGCGCAAAACAAACATGAGTGGACCAAGTTGATATACATAATAAAGAAACAGTTATTCAACATACTAACCCCCAAAGTTTTATGAAAACTAATAGCATAATATGTAATAAGTTTTCCGAAAACCCTAGCATGCCATAAAACCTTTCATGAAACATATCTCGTATATAGTGTGCTAGCTAGTGATATCAATATCAGTATCTCTCGGCCCAAAGTTATTAATATATACCTCCTGCCGACCATATATCTCCTTTAGCCAGATATCTCTCTCACCCGTAGGCAAAATCGTGACCACTAGATACGCACAAAACCATTGAACATAGTCTTTCCAAACATAGATACATATATCTCAAAACATCTTCATAGTATAAAGTCATCCATCATCTATACTATAAAGAAGTGTGTAAAAGCATGTTCTAAATAGCATATAGTCATCCAACATATATACTACAAAGAACATCAGTTCGATAAAATATGATATTCCAAAATATTCGTAATAATCATAATATCTCATAAAACGTTTCATAAAACGTAATCATTAAATCATGTTTTTCATGTATGCATTTCTACTATTAAAACATGCATTTAGAAAGGGTACACTCACAAATACTCCGTCATCGAGAGTCGTACAAAAAAGGAATGAAGGAATCGCCGCTAATATTCACACCTAAGCACATAAAGTGTCCAATTAATATAACTCTATTCAAACAACTGAATTTGGGAAATGGGCATAAAAAACGGATCCAGGACATCGAAATTAGCCTAGGAGAGGTCCCGGACGAAACCCGAAAAAAAAATCAACAAAAGTCAACATTGACCTTTGATCGGTCAAAATCAAAGTCCACGGTCAGCATTGACCTGGTCAACGTGTCCGGGTCGGGTCAGGTCAACCGAGTTTGGGCTTGGGTTGGATCCGAGTTGGGATTTGGGCCAGTGGGCTGGTAACCCGGCCCAAGGGGAAATGGTTTAGGGTTAAGAATTGTCGAAGCTCTTTGGTCTTGGGCCGAAGGCCTGGCCCAAATAAAAGGGTTTTGGGTTTTAAAAAGAAGAAAATAAAATAAAAAGGATTTGGGTTGAGTTTTAAAGAGGGTAACAGGTCTAAGAGTCGAGTCTTTTACGGCCCAAAGGCCTAACTAACAAGGTTTGGGTTTGGGCTGTCCTAAAGCTTTAGGCTTGGGGTTTAGGCCCAAAGGCTCTAGGTTGCTGGTTCTCGCCGGGGAAGGAGGCCGGAGTCTCCCGTGCTCCAATCAACGCCGATCTGCCACTCTAGGGTACGATTTAGGTACGAAAATGAAATGCAAGGTGAAAGGAAATGTTTTCTCACCTTCAATTCACCGTGGGATGGCCAAAGGTGGCCGAATTTCGGCTCAAAACTCACGGGGTTCGCCGGAGCTAGTTCTTGGTTTTGCCAAGCTTCATAGAGGCTAGGGAGAGTGAGAGAGAGCCCACGCGTCGATGCTGGTGATGTTGGTTCGTCGCATGCAATATGGGTGTGCAGATGTGTGCGTGTGAGTGTAGAGATCGGAGAGAGAGAGATCTGTGAGAGGGAAAGGGTACTAAGCTAAGAGAAAGACTCAAGAGTGTTGACTCGGGGGAGGGGAAAGAGACAAGAAAAGAAAATGAGAGTTGAGGGTTTACCATGTGACAGGCTACGAGGGAAGAAGAATCTAAAAGGAAGGGTACAGATTGGTTAAGGATATGGGACTAATATGTGACTTTCATATACTTTTAGGGTAATTGTGAAATTACATTAAACTTTTGGGGGTGGGGTTTCACACCACGAGCTTGTGGGCATAAACGAATTTCAATTCCGAGTTAGAACGAATAAGTTAGACATGTTTAAAGCAGGGGATATTTTTGTTATTTAGACTTTACCATAAATAGTGGGCTTCTACAAGTGGATACCCAGATTCTTGGAGGTTTCCATTTCAGGAAACCTGACCCATAACCCAGAAAACCCACCCAAATTGACCCATACGACCCATGAACTTCCGACAATGATTTCGGTCAACTCCGGCTTCATTTTCGACACCACCACCACCATCTTAAAGCTCTCACTCCTCTCTACAAAACCCAACCAAGAACCACCTTGATTAACCTCTGTATGTGGCTGCGCAAGGCCACAAAACCCAACAAAAACCAACAATGCTTCGACCATCCTTTTCATTTTTTCGGCGAATCGACAAAGTGACTGTCGACGCCACTAACTAGACGTTGTAGCCCATCATCCCAGGAGTAATTCCTGACCAGCCTTGACCCCATGGGACCACCGTAGGTGGTGAATCGATGCTGGGAAGCTTCCAGCACCCGCCGACATTATTGGCAAAATTGACCCTCTTTCGTCCACTTTTGGACTTCGTGGCAGGTATAAAAGTTGACTATCTTCTTATAAATTTTGGTAGAATTTGGAGCTAGTCGATAAAGTGGGTTTCCGGTCGTAGAAAACCACCAGCGCAGCGGCGTGTGGGGAAAAGTTAAAATTTATGGATTTTAGACAGCGAGACGTTATCAATGTCTTGAGCCCATGTCCAAAGTCCGTTTATTGAAATTTGATACGATGATTCGATTATTCAATACTTCAGATAATTATACTGCCGTACGATTTTTGTAAGTCACAACAATCTGACCGTTGGATCATCGTGCAGTTTTGTGAGCATCCTTGTTATTTGTTGTTGGACCTTGAAGAGCTTACGGATCAGAAATCCGATGAGCAGATCTTCCGAATTGAATTACCTAGGTTTGTTGACCTTATAGGACCTTTGATCGACATTTGGATTTTTAATCAATGTGCCCTATTCTAGAGTGTCGTTGTTATAGAATGTTATTAAGGCTTGATGGAGCTTAGTTGGCTCATCTCGATGACGTGTCGTTCCCAGTTAACGTGCATCTCGATTTACGTGCACGTGGCACTTGGCCTCGGTTTGCGTGTTAGTCTTATTAAGTTTCCTAAGTGGGTTTTGTGTATTGTATTAGATTCCCTTGGAGCGGAGTTGGTGAATCTAGAAGTGCAAATAACCCAGGTGAGTGACATTAATATTATGTGATATGGTTATTACCCATGAAATTCCTTATTATATACTATGTGGATATAATATGGATTAGCAAATGATTTTATGGAAATGTGTGCTACTATGCTATGTTTACTTGAAGATGCTATCAGAAATATATGTATATGTTATGCTTGAAATGATTATGATATGTAAGGGCTAGTAGAGGACTGCTGACCGAGTACATACGATGATGTGGGATAGAATGGGAATTTGCACCATGTAGCGATGGTACATGGATGGTCCTGCTTGGTTAATCCACAATGGAGGACCATACTACTTTGGGATTGTGCTTGGTTAATCTGCAATGGGTGATCCTTATTACTTAGGTATGGCCATACATATTTAGGGGTGATCATGCTTGATTAATCCACGATGGGTGATCACTACCTATTAGTTTTCGTAGGAGTGACTCTGCTTGTTTATCCCTAGGGGGGTCACTACCTACATGGTATTCTCATGAGTGGTTTTGCTTGGTTAATCCGCAATAGGAGACCACATCTTGATCGGTTACCTATTGTAGTCTTCGGCCGAACAGTGTCTCTCTATAACCCTAGAATATTGTTTATTACTTATATGAAAGATGAGATTGAAGGCATGTGTGGCTCAATCTAGAAAGTGACAATTGAATCAAATAGTTTACATGATGACGTTGCCTAAAAGAGAATGATTTTGGATGTGACTCATTACGTTGCCTAAAAGAGAATGATTTTGGATGTGACTCATTCCTACTCGTAACGAAGAGTGCAATGATCGAAAAAGATACCAATCTCATTCCTACACATGATTGTATTATTGATTTTGCGTCATTCCTACACAACTTTGGGTTGTGTGATGACTAAGAATGTTATCATGAGACGTGTGGTGAGATTCGAAATTGAATAACCATTCATATACGTGTTAATAAGGCGTAGGGTGGTTATATATAAAATATGTGGCAATCAGACTCTTATGATGACTCGGAATTGATGAAAGGCAAGTGGTGAGTAACAATCCGAAGAATGTCATAATGATATTGACGGTGATCGGATTGGCCCATTATTCAGAGGAAAGTCCTGTGTGGACGTAGCACTACTTTTTCATTTAATCATTTGATGTTATTTCTATTTCACATATGTTGTTTTATTGTCATCACACGAGTTTCGCAGCTTATTTAGGTTTTGCTTTGCATGATGCACCATTCCCACGGCGTAAGGTTATTTTGTAGAGTAACTGGTAACGGTTAGACGAGAAAATTTCTGGTGGTGTAGTTGTGAAGGCAGTGCACTTGAGAGTAGGGATTGCCGCCCTTTGTTGGAAGTTATTTTCGCTGAGCTCTATTGTATATTATACGTATAAGTCTTAGTGGCTCTATGTATTTTATATTGTACTACTACTGTCCTATCGTTGCGTGTCGATTCTGGACGTATCTCGAGATCGAGGCGTAACAGTATGATCATAGTCAGCCTTGCTTGACTTCCCCATATGTATTCCCTCCATCCCTACTCCTACAATACACACCATTAAGCAACCATTACAATATTTCATCAAATTTTCTCTGATTATTTCCTCATCGATAATTTTCGTAAAAAAAAAAATCTCATGTATGACAATTGCAAGGTTGAATTTTTCAGACATGAACCTTCTGAGCCAATTCTTGAAGGAGAAGAGAACCTTGCAATCTCTCCCATTAGAGACGACCTTACTTTTACTTTTTTTCTTTCAAACATGCTTTTTCATGTTGATGCTACCATTTGCCTAAAATGGAGGTATTACACTTGATGAAGGGCTGGAACAAATTGTGTTCCTCAATCAATAAACTTGGGAGCATGAATAAACTTACAGTTTCCTCCAATATCTTATTAGAAATAGTTTCCTCCAATGTCTTATTAGTCGCATGTAAAATTACCATGAATAATCTGTCGAGAAATAATTGAATAGAGGAGTCTAGAGGTAAATTGGAAGTTTAGCACTTAAAAATTCAATCTTGAAACAGAGAAAATCGGAAGAAAAAAAAAATAATGGAGCAATAGCCAACTCATGTTTTAACTACCTTTTAGATTGCGTATATGGATCAAGTCATAAATTTCAAATGTTTTCGTTGCTCATAAATATCCTATATGTTTGGCATATTAAAAATATGATGATCATGTTTGCCAAAAAAAAGTATGACCATCCTATAAACAAACAAAAAAAAAATTTGATGATTATTTTTTAATCCTCGAATTCCTATTCTTTTTCCAAAATTCGCCGAGAAAGAAGAAACTAAAGCAAACTACATGGTAGCACGTGACAAAGTTATAACAACGTAACACAAAGAGTATATGGGTGCCATGGTAAAAATTAGAACCTTATAGTCAGTTAGGTAGAAATAATGCTAAACTATTGACAAAACCAAATAACTTTTAAGTTTTAGTAGCAAGAGGATCGTCGCCGGATCCTCTTTGTAAGGATTTTGGGATCCTTTAATCACATTCGTTCATCGTACATCGTGTGGTCAGAAATTATTGTAAATGTTTTTATTTAAAATTGAATATAAACAGTACTTGATAAAAATTAACCGCACAATGTACAACGGATGTGATTGAATAATCTTCAAGATCCTCACAAAGAGGATCCTTTCTTGTTTTAGTAATACTTTTTTCAATGTTAACATTAAAAACAATTAAAACTACATGGACTTATATACGCTATGAAATTCATGGACAAATGTATACTCCTGACCACGAGTATGAAGTTAATCCATTTATCATTCATCAAGACAACGTACTTGACACAACTCCTAAAACTAGCACTCTCTGTAAATGAACTCCTCATAATTTTCGAACCCAAAATTAATAAACAAGTTACGGAAGTTGAAATGCAGTGAACTAAGCCATTGGTAATGTATCCACATGCCTACTTTTGTTTCTTATATACTCCACTCAATTTTCGATATCCGATTGAATAAATTGAAGAAGATCAGTAGCTAAAAGTTAACAAAATTGTATAAGAAATAAAAAAGTGTGTGTGAATAGCATTATCCTTAACCTAATGTACCACTTTATATTCAATTTTGAACTCCCCTCCCCCTAGTGGGATGTACTCAAAAAAATTTCGAGTTCTCATTTCTTTTCGATATGCATAAATTAAAATGGGTTGGAATATTATCTGATGAAAAAAAAAACATCAAAATCAGAAATCATTTTGCTTTATTTTTCACTTTCCATTCATCTTGTGACATTTTCAACTACAAAAAAAATAACCAGAACAAAACCTCAAGTTCAAATAGTTTACTTTCACAATAATAACAAAAATATTATTATTTAAATATTAATTAACGTGCTTATTTATAAATGTAGCATAAAAAATGGTCTAACGTTACTTCTAATTTTGGTTCCAAAGGACAGAACAAACTTTTGATTAGCATCCGATTCCAAAACACTGTCGGTTTAGGCCGCGAAGGCTCACCCGAAAAACGTCGTCGTCACGCCCAGTTAGGAGTCACATCTTCGTCAAACAAAGTAAAGTCTGCTTCCAGTTTTAGCTTCTACTTAAGGCAACCGAAAGAAAAGCAAACTCCCAGAGACTATACATCTCTCCACCGCCATCGTCATTAATCTGACCTCGCAAGAATCCGCCACAAGCTCCGCCGACAATGGCGTATCCGCTGCGTCTCCTCCTCTACTCCCACTATTCCTTTCCTGCATTGTTTTGTTGAGCCACCAGGTCAAATGCGATGGAGGTAAAGTTTTATGCTTTTGCTCAACAGCTTTAATTAACTTCCAAATCTTGAGGCTTTATGACAATGGTGGAGTTTCTGTATTCTGTTTCTATATTTTACATTTACGATTTTATTTCTAATTTGGGTTTGTTTAATTTATCAAAATTATTATTATTATTTAAAAAAAAAAACCCCATTTCATATGAGATCTGATTAGAGGATATTGAACTGGGTTTAATTAATTTGGATTGAAAAAATAACAACATAGAATGTGTATTATCTTACTGGATCTTGAGGGTTTAGTTCTTTGCAAATGGGTAGGTAATTGTAGACTTGTAGCGTGTGCATTTTTGCTTGAATGTTGTGGGAAAACTACAATATTACACTCTGCATCTCCCTGGATGAATCAGTGATCTGTATTTACTAGGAAGAGATCCCATAGACTTGTGTTATTGTATGAGACTCGTTCTTTTCTTGAGTTTCATTCCCCTTCGGAAACATCCGATAAAATTGGAACGATACAATATAGGCATAGCTGGGGAATATCCGATAAAATTGGAACGATACAGAATAGGCATAGTTGCATTTCAAAAAATAGACATAGTTTGGGAACATCTGATAGAATTGGAACGATACAAAATAGGCATAGTTTGGGCGGACTCGTAGTTCCTCAGTTGTATATACAACCAAGGGTTGTCAATATTAGTTACAAAGTTGCGTTGTTCATTAAACATGGATTTGCTATGCTGTTTCTAAATTTAGTTCCATCAACTGAGGAAAGCTAGGTATACGTTCTTGGGACTAAGGCTAGTTTGGGAAGTGCTGTTAAATGACTAAAGGCGCTTTTAGAGAAAATGTTTTTGGATTCCAAAAGCACTTCAAGTGCTTTTCCTGGATTAACTTTCATTTTTACTAAGGATTTATTCCATAAACATTTTCTCTAAACGTGCTATCAGTCATTTAAAAGCACTTCCCAAACGAGCCCTAATTCTATACAAGACTGTATCGAGAAGATAAAGTGGAATGGACCAACCGCAGAACAAATACATTGATTGCCTAACCCTAAAGCATATTCAGGCTAAAACTCAAAGAAGAGCTCTGGTTTGACAACCGAAAGTTAACTTTCAAATTTATGTTGATACACTGCCACATGATTGTCTAGTGGAAGTATGTATCACCCTTTTGACTTGTACATATTGACAATCAAATTTCGGTTTATCTTTTTTGCAGTAGATGAAGAAGATAGTCTTCTTCAAGGCATCAACAGCTATAGGACTGCCACCTTGAACCTAACGACCCTTACAAAGAATGCCAACGCAGAGTGCCTTGCTGATGAGATAGCTGAGCAATTCAAAAATCAACCCTGTACAAACACCACAGGCTCCAACACAGTACCAGGCACTGAACCTAATTTCTCCGACTACCCAAAACTTTTAGCCAAATGCCATCTGAATGTCTCTAACACAAGAGATGGGGTCGTAATGCCTGCTTGCGTTCCCAGCCTCGTTCCTAGTCTGGTCCTTACCAACTTCACAAAGACTCAGTACTCTAATAATCTTAACGACACCAAGTTTACCGGAATTGGAATTGGCTCTGAAGATAACTGGATTGTTGTTGTTCTGACCACCAGCACACCAGAAGGAAGCTTTGTGACTGCACAAAGTTCACCAGATGCACAAGATTCCGCCGGTTCTGCTTCCAAGATCAGTTTGGTTCCCTACTTGCTATTTCTACTAATGGGTTTTATCTTTCATTTGTAAACCAAGCGGATCTCCGTACACTTCATATTTCCTTGGCAATTGCTGCATGTACGGAGAAACCTCAGTTGAAGAATGCTGCTATAAGACAAGTTTTCTGCATTTTCGACGTAGGAGATGCATGAATTTCCAATGAGAGCGAAATATTACTTCCATAACTTGATGTGTCTTGTAACTAATACTAGATTGTTGAACATGTGTATCATCGATTCATCGTTGTTATTGAGCTTTTAATTTTTTGAAAAGTTTTGTGATTGAATGCATGAACTGTGCTCATTTTCTGCATTGTAATCGGTATTTAAATAAAATTTACATTATATTATACATAGGATGGGCAAAATACCCGTAGTATGGGTAACTGACATTTGACGGTTACGGTTATGGGTAATCGTTTAAATAAATACACGATTATTATGGGTATTATACGTGAGTACAAAGGGGTGTCAATTTAACCATTATTTTTGTTTACATACAGGTACCCATTTAACTCTCTTTTGTTCTTGCATTCTCTTTCCTCTCGACCAACGGCAATACCGAAAACTCTAACACTGACGTGAGGTTTGTCTTTTAATATTGTATCAGCAAGGTCTTAATTAGACTCAGAATAACAATAAATTAATTGTTTTGGTGTTTACACATATATATGTATATGTATACATAAAACGAACAATGATGCTCCTAACGTTCTTGCTGGCTATACAGTGGTTGCTAGGTGTGAATCCAAACAAGTATAGAAGTGCGAATTCAATCAGTCTGTATTTATTCAAATAAGTGGTTTATTTTGCAGAACGTAATTGGTTTTTTTCTGGATATTTTTTGACAATCTAAGTGAACAGGATGACTAAAAAGCCAAAAGATACATCAAAGTGAAAAACCTTCCTCTCTAACCCATATTTTCCTTGCTGATATGAAACTAAACTTTTCCAGCTTCGACCAACATTATTGAATTTGAATCCGATATGTAAAACTCCAAATGTGAACAAATCCAATGATACACGTTTAATACAAGGACTCGCTTCATGCATTCGATTCTCATTGTCATCGCTAATTCACAAACAAATACCTCCTTAGAGCAAGCAAAAGGACCCATGTTGTCTTTGTGATCTTTTCCTTTATCATCAAAAGCAATGCCGAGCTCAGCACAGTTTTCAGTATCTGCGCCTGTAATCCTTTGAAGAAACCCAACGGCCCCTCTCGTTTCCAAATGGCATAAAATGCACCTGAAACTGTCTTTTGGGACTTTTGAGTTTCGCTCTGAGCTCCGTTGCTGCCCTCTTCATCTTCTTCTGCAGCTTGAATCATGACCTTGCACCTGTCGCAGTACATGAAAGCCATATATGAAGGGAGGTACGACATGAATCAATTCCAAAACCCTGCTTTTCCGGCTTCTTGTAAAGACTACAAATAAACTATATACGTGTTGCACAGAGAAGACTGGTAGAATTGAATATCCACCTGATGGCTGGGTATGTCAAGCAGGACGCAATGCACTTTGAGACGGCGCCCAATACGAAAGCAGAAAAGGCAGAAAGGGCTGCTGGAGATGACTCTTTACCTGTTCTTTTTCTCAGCTGCCCCCTCAGAAGTCTTTGTTTCAACTGATCAAATACTGTGTACTGTACAAAAACAGCTCAAAGATTCAAATTAAGTTATCATTTTAGCATATTCAATCAATTATAAAAGCCTGTATACGGTATATCGTACACTAGAGCGTCAACTTAAGTACCTGGATAGATGGGTTAGATGTCAAAAGAAGAGATATGCCAAGACCATCAAATGCCTCAATCCAAGTTCCCTCTGAAAGTGTCTTCCAGAGTCCTTTGGATTTTCCAAACTCACTTGTCTGCATCTTTGAGGATGCTGTATCCAAGGGCTGCAAGCAAAACCCAGAAACTTGAACATCTTATGGTAAGGACTAAATTAGTAACTAAAAAATAAAACTGAGTTCTTTGCTCGGTGATAGCATACGATTTTGAACTTGTCTATTGACTCTAAATGGCCCAGGACTAACATGCATATCTTTAGTAAAGGGACATACTGTTTTTGTATCTCACCTGTGTCACTATGACTGTACAAGCCCCGGCAGCAGCTGCAACAATTAAGTTTGCTCTTGTTTCCATGTTTTTATTTCCACTTTTCTCCAAGTATAACCTCTTAAAAAAACTGTATCCATAGAAGTAGATGAACTGTGAAATAAAGGACTGAAAGTTCTTTGTCCCAAGGCCCTGGTATAAAGAAAGCACCTGACGGGTAGAAATTGCTTCCCATAAAACATCAGAAATGTTCCTGCAAATGCCAAAAAAAAAAAGAAATATTCAGATGAAAGTTGCATAAGAAATGTATTTTTGGACATATCTTGTTAGATTTAAAACAAGACTTGATCTTTCCATGGTTAACCTAAGGATATTTGAAATTTCGAAGCATTGGAAAAGCTTCCTACAGTGAATGAAATTTCCTTCTTTCTTTCCTAACCTTCTAAGGTGAAACAAGTTCAAAATGAAAAGGGAGACAGATATACACAACATATTGTCAGGTCAGGTGCAGCTTATACACCGAATACCGCTCTGCTAAATAACATATGAGACAAAAATCACTTCTTCGGTGATAAAGCTGGTTTTAAAAAAAGTACACTTAAAGGCTGGTTTGGTATTGCTGTGCTTTGAAAAAAAATTGCTTTTACTGTGCTATGAGAATAAACAGCTATAAAATAAAGCAGCAGAGTGTTTGGTAAACTTTTATGTAAAACAAATGTGAAAAAAAGCCGGTTTTTCAAAGCTGAGTTTTGCAACTTCTTGTTTTTGGCTTTTTTTTACCCAAAACTGTCTATGAACAAAAGCTGAAGCTGAATGTTTGCCAAACACAAAAACAGCTCCCAGCTTTTTTTTATACCAACTTTTTTCAGAATTACCTCAGTACCAAACTAGCGTAAATCACCACTCGCTAGCGTTTGTTACTCAACGGTTAGTTCATGGAATTATCTCATTGCTTTTCTTACGGGGGTACCTCCATGATAATATGGAAAACACTAGAAAGATCACATTTTGGAGGCATAATCATATAAAAAATATTGTTTAAGGCATAATAAACAACTGCAGGCTCATCATTGAATAATCTTTCCAGATATCGGACACGCAAAGAGTAATTAAATATAACTCTAGTTCGAATTTCATCTTAAGTTAGCACGACTGACAATTTATTTGGAAAAATGTTGAACTTAATCTGTATTCCAATTCAAGTAAATGACTAAGCCAAAAGCTTAAAACTTTGAACATGGCAGCCTATAAGATAAACTGCAATTACATTCCCAGCAAAATTTGCAATATGGGTAACAATAAAGCTCAAATCATACAAACAATTATATACCTTAGGACCCAAAAGGTAATCACATTCCCATTAAAATTTAGAATATGGGTAACAACAAAGCGCAAAGCATACAAACAATTAGACCCAAATTAATAAAAACAAAAACCCAGAAAATAAAAGAGGCTGAAAAAAACAACCTGTATTTCTGCTGATGCTGAGCTCGGACTTCAGCTTGGTACTTGGTCTTGCAGGTGTCGAGAGGGTACAAGATGGTGGTGCTGACCAGAGCTCCAATGGCGCCTGAAGTTGCCTCTGCAACTGATTCCAGATCAAATCCCATCCTCTTCTCTTTGGGGAATTGGAATCCTGGGCTGAGAAAAGAATTGGGATTTTAGGGGAATGGAAAAGGAATGCAATTCATGGGGAGCTGGGGTGGGCAGGTCCGTAAATATGGAGGTATGGTGTGGTTTTGTGCGGGTGCAGGGCAGTTAGTGAGGAACTGAAAGTGATGCAGTGAGCGGTGAGAGGCCAATTGGGATGGGTTGGTCATACAGTTTCTTAATCTTCTTGGGAAACGGAAATGTGAACAGTCTTCTATCTCTTGAGACTTGAACCGTGAATGAGGACATCCTGTTTATTGGATTTGAGAATCCTCAAATCGTTTTTGTTCATCATATATTACGCAGTCAAAAATTATTTTAAATATTTTTATTGAAAATTAAATATAAATAGTACTTAACAAAAACTGATCATACGACATACCCAAACGCTTGTGTTAAAAGGACTTTTAGTAGTTTGAAAATTAGTCTAAAAAAATTAGTTTATTTTGCATTACTCTTTAATTAAATTTTAAGAAAATCATTTGAAATTGTAGTAAGTATCTAACAAGTGCCTCTTGATAGCCAAAAACACTGGAGAAATTTTTCCGATACACCATAACTCATTATAAATAACTTTTATTTTTCAAATGTCAAATGTTAATTTGAAGATTTATGTGACAATATCAATTTTTTTTTCAAATAATAAACGTAAAACCTGATTTTAAAAAGCAATAATAAAAGTAAAATTACTTTAGTCTAAATTTGAAAATTCAATTGCAATGTTCAGCTAAATAGTGTTTTGTGATGCTTTAAGTGACATTCACTCGTAGATTTGACTCATCGGTTGGAGATGTTGTAAGTCTTTTTTCATCGAATGCATCATAATTGTTTATGGCTACCAAACATTACTTTGACTCCCGAAAGTAATCCCAAATATGTGGATGAGCCGCCGAAAGCCGATCTCATTCAATATTGAGAAAATGCACCATTAGACTAACTAGTTATGTCTATTAATTTTTCAGTTTCACTTTGTCGTTTGAAAGATGTAGAACAATTTTTATTGTTCTAGTGTCTCAAAGTTTTTCCATCGTGTATGCAGAGCCATCAGAACTTCACATGATAAACAAGTGCATGAAAATTTTTGTCCAAAAACATTTACAAAGTGTCATCATATAACTTAAATGTGGAAGTTTCTCACCAAAACGTGAATATGCACTATTTCATACAGAGTTCATATAGTGTATCAATCTATTAAACTAGGATTGTTAATGATAAAAAGACTGTCTATTATTGCAACTTGACTTCAACAATCGATAGGTAATGAATTTTTATTTTCCTATTGTTTGATTCTTAAAATATTTCTTACTAACCTTAAAAGTTGTTAGGATTACATCTAACATCTTCGATAAGGGAAGGGATCATCTCTCGATCCCTTCCTTCTAATCCATCAAATTAGAGGATCCCGACTATTGAAATTTGATTCAACGGTTAAAGTTATTATAACTTTAAATTAGGCATTTGTTTGTAGCCGTTGGATCAAATTTCAATGGTCCGAATTTCATGATTTGGTGGATTAAGAGGAAGGGATCCGGAGAGGATCCCCTTCCCTTCAATAATATTGGGCCAGATATTTCAAAGAGAAAATTAAAACATTGGTCCATGAATTTTGACTCAATTATTTAGAGTTCTGGTCCATAAATT